GACTTTTTTTTCCTTAAATTTTAATATAATTAGGTTTAATAGAATTTTAAGAAGTTTGTCTTTATTTTAGATAAATAAACAACTGTTTGTTTAAATTCCTCTGAAAGAAATGCAATAATTATTGAATTTCTAATGACTTATTCCCTTATTTTTACTCATATCTTATATTTATGTTTAGATAAATTTTACACTTGAAAACACACACACACACAAAAAAGTGAAAAAAATGTTTATATTACAACAATACCACTTGTATTTTGAAAATTTAAAGTAAATTTGTGTATATTTTGTATAATTTTCCCAAAAACAAATACAAACAAATTTTTCAACACTTTAATAATAAAAATTACTACGTGAGTTTATCTCCGTTTTTTTTTTAACAAACATAAACAATTTTAAATTAAATTATTCAAAAATTTTCTTAGCGGAAATTCCAATATTTAGAATGTAATAAAAGAAAAAGGGTAAACGCGTGTCTTGGTTTTTGTTTAAAATGTTTATATTGTTTATATTTGTAGACAAGATGAACGAAGAACGTGTTGGACAAAATAAATTTTGGAGATAATTGTTTGAGGTTGCTGGTGTTGGGATGCATTCAAGCGCATCATAAGGGTCTCGGTCAAATGTTTTATATCTTTCATTTCCGTTATTAGGTTTCAAGAGTCAAGTGTTGAAATTAATTTAGGGGTTTTTGATTATTCAGTTTTATTTTAAAGAAAATTGTTTATATTTTAAAAAAAATTTAATATTTATTATAGAAAAGTGGTATTATTGAAGAATTTCTTTTAAGAATTTTAATTGAAGTTTCAAATATTAGAAATTCTAAGATTTTAACAGACAACAAATGTTTAAGCCGTTCTGAATCTGAAGTTTTTCGATATTTTCAGAAGTCAGGGTACTAATGCCTTCAAATTAATTGGAAGACAATTCACAGGGTCTTTAACTAAACCGCACATTTTTATAGGTTTAATTGGACCAGGACCAGAGATACAAGCCGATGCAAAATGATCGGCGGCGCAACCATTTTAGGTCGGCGGCGGCGGCTTATTATAGAAAATATCGGCGGCGGATAAATTTAACTTTTCCTTCAGTAATTGACCTTATAAGCGTTTATTATATTGAAAAATCTCTATATAATACTCTGTTATATAGAAACCTGTCTATATATAAGTCCTGGTCCAGGACTCTCATAGATGATTCATTGATATACATAAAGCTTCGGAAACGGACTAGAAACGTGGAATTGTTGTAATGATATTTTGATTACAATTTTCATTTTCCCTTCATTTTATTAGCAAGTATTTCACAAGATTTAAGAAATTTATAATTTCGAACATTAGATCCGACATTTAATCCCCTCTTCGCTGCCACAATTCGCTACTAAAACTAATCACAAACTAATGAATTGGGAATTAGTCTGGTCGTTCGCTGCTACCCGTAAAGGTCGCCTAATTTAACTTTTAAACAGTTCTAACAAATTTAAAGATTAACTTACAAGACCACTAAAGATTATAGTGACCAGCATGTCTTATTGACTCGTTAAGTACAACTAACTGTATGAATTTCTATACTAGACAGTTATAAATATTAAATTAAAAGTACGAATTTATGTTTTTAGCAAAAAAATATATATAATGGAATAGGATTTGCCTTTACATGGTAGTTAATAATATATGACTGCTGTCTGCAGGAACATTTCATGTCAAGCAGGTAATTTTTGCTTTTTTATTACTTCTTGACTTTAATCTGGATAAAAGTAGTTTTATGTTTTATGACATAAACTAGGCGCCACACGAAAGTAGAATTTTTAAAAGCCTTTATATATAAATGTGTTATTAAATGCTTAAATAAAAGTATGTATTTGTGTACTTATTTACATATTTATATAAAGCTATTATTCCACTTTCTCCAGCCTTAAGTTCTACATAAAAAATATATTGCATTTGTTTTGTATAAAATTATTAATTTCGCTACAATGTTTTGTGCTTTTTACTTACTTTAAACCCACTGTTCTTTAAACAAAGTTTAAATTACAAAAATAGAAATTAGTTTTTTTTCTTTCAAATTTCCTGATGTTGCAACATTATAAATAAATGTTTAAAATATTTAGTTCATTTCAAATTATTACAACAGCAGGCTATGAGAGCAAATAACAAGCGACACAGATAAGATGTTTTTAATGATGATCTTTGGGTTCAAATCTATTAGAAACTGAAATAATGTGGGGTATTTTTTTTTGAGAAAAAAAGTGCGTTAAAATACAAATGTTTAGCAAGTGCAACACGTCATCCATTTCCTAAGTAGCGTGACTAGTTGTCATTTCAATTATTACCAACAACTTACAGCAATTAATAAAATTACCAACTATTTTTAAATTATGTTTTTTAATTTTTGAAAAATATCTTCTGGGGGTTTTGAAAAACAATGATGTCATATTGATGTAGATTTATAATTCTTTAAAATTTTATCTTAAATTAAATTGCTTCATTTAAATCGTGTTAATAAGTTTTTAACCTTAATTGTATGACCAAAAAAAGAAAATTTATCAAAAATCCATTATAATTCCGATAATTTATTGAAAATTGAAAACTTTCCGATCGCTATAGTTTTCAATTTTATAGTTATTATACCGATCAGAGATCTGACTCTGAACTATTATCATTTTAAAGAGAGAGTTATAAACCTGCCTTTTATAACTGTTTGAAAGGGAGCTGTAGCAATTTAGAGATAGATTAATTTAAGTCTAGCCTACAGTCCCCACTATAATTCGTCCTAAATGCTGGTCTATTGCCTTTAGTATAACCTATAGCCTCTAGTCTCTACTATAGTGCTTTCTATATTACCCAGATTAGCCTACAATCTGACCTTAAGTCTTGACTATGGTCTGGCATACAGCCTTGCTACAATTAGATAATTTTCTTATGGAAAAGGATCTAGTCTGGACAGTAGACTTAACTATAGTTTGGACAATAGTCTTGACTAATGTCTGGACAATAGTCTTGACTATAGTCTGGATAATAGTCTGGACAATAGTCTGGACAGTAGTCTGGACAATAGTCTTGACTATGGTCTTGACAATAGTCTGGACAATAGTCTTGACTATAATCTGGACAATAGTCTTAACTATAGTCTGGACAATAGTCTTGACTACAGTCCGGACAATAGTCTTGACTATAGTCTGGACAATAGTCTTGACTATAGTCTGGACAATAGTCTTGACTATAGTCTGAACAATAGTCTTGACTATAGTCTGGACAGTAGTCTGGACAATAGTCTTGGCAATAGTCTTGACTATAGTCCGGACAATAGTCTTGACTATAGTCTGGACAATAGTCTTGACTATAGTCTGGACAATAGTCTTGACTATAGTCTTGACTATAGTCTGAACAATAGTCTTGACTATAGTCTGGACAGTAGTCTGGACAATAGTCTTGGCAATAGTCTTGACTATAGTCCGGACAATAGTCTTGACTATAGTCTGGACAATAGTCTTGACTATAGTCTGGACAATAGTCTTGACTATAGTCTGAACAATAGTCTTGACTATAGTCTGGACAGTAGTCTGGACAATAGTCTTGGCAATAGTCTTGACTATAGTCTGGATAGTAGTCTTGACTATAGCCTGGACAATAGTCTTGACTATAGCCTTGACAATAGGCTTGACTGTAGTCTTGACAATAGGCTTGACTGTAGTCTTGACAATAAGCTTGACTGTAGGCAGGATAATCTTGAGAATAGTCTGGACAATAGTCTAGACTATAGTCTAGACTATAGTCTTGACTATAGTCTGGACAATAGCCTTTCCTAAAGTCTGGACAATAGTATTGACTATAGTCTGGTCAATAGTCTTGATTATAGTCTGGACAATAATCTTGACAATAGTCTTGACTATAGTCTGACCAATAGTAGTGACTATAGTCTGAACAATAGTCTTGACTATAGTATTGACATTAGTCTTGAGTCTGGACAATAGTCTTTACTATAGTCTGGACAATAATCTTGACTCGATAGTCTCGACAATAGGCTTGACTACAGTGTCGAATATAGTCTTAATTATAGTCAGCATAATATTTATGACTATATTCTAAACCTTAGTGTTGACTATAGTCAAGACATTCTGCTTAGTATTAGTCTTGTTCAATGCAATCTCCGTAATGGAACTAGCTTTTAAGTAAACCCTGAAACTTCTGTAAATGGAAAATATTACATTTGAGAAATTGCCCATTTTTTATTAAAATGGCGGGAACATTGAAATATAGACTTGGTGAAAATCTATTAGACTGTGGCTTTTCCTATACAAAAACCCAGTTTTTGGAAAATTATATTCTTATGGCACATATTTTAACGGGAATATTTATTACAATATTAATCTTAAAACCAAATTAAAAAAAATGCCAAGAAACTGAATAAAGAACTTAAACAGTTTTTGTTACCTGGATAAGGGATTTTCCAGGTAGTCTTATTGAAATAAACCAGGTAACAATTTTCAGATAAAAACAGGGATTATACATATTGTGCAAAATCACTTAAAATACAAAAGAAACCAAACAAACACAAAAAAAGAAAATGTGTAAGAGGAAAATTATACACGTACTATTTAGACAATGAAAGGAAATGTGTCATTTGTTTTGTGATACTAAATACACACACATACACACGCATAAAAAGGATATTTATATTGTTAAAATTACACGTACATATGTATATTTACATTACACATGTATATAATATACAAATGTAAACAAAAATACAGGGATGTTTTATTTTATTGTATACAAATTTCCAAGATATTGAGATACTAAATAATATATAAAGCCGGCTTTAACGGCTAGTAGTTAGTCATTACAAATTTATCTTTCATACGTGATAGATCCTAGATCCTTAGAAAATAAATAAAAAATAACAAAGTTATTGTTTATGTTAGTATTTTAAACAGAATAACTAAGAATATACGAAACATAAAACTAATAAAACATCAATTTATCAAATTGTGTTTACAGATTTAACTCAACTCTACTAAATAGAAACGCAGCTTAAAGGCCAGAAAAGAAAGTGAAATTTTATATAAAAAAAGACAAAGTTTAACATCTAATAAAAATGGGAGAACAAGAAGAGAAAGAAACTCCTCAGACTGAGAGCACTCCACAACAGGAGGTGGTTGAGGAACCCAAGGAAACCGACAAAATGCTGGAAAAGAAAGACGATGAAACTAAACAAAGTGCTGAGAAATTGGCGGAAGATAAAAAGAAATCTGCTTCAAAACCCACCACACCAACGACCGAAAAGAAAGATAAAGACTCAAAAGAGTCGGATGAAAAGAAAGCTAATGGTGGCGGTGAGGAAATAATAGATATACCAGAAGGAGGTGCTAAAACGGAAACGGCAGATGGTAGCGATGAAAGAAAGTTATCGGCCGAAGAAAGAGAAGTTAAGCCCAAGAAAATACCCATTGGTGGTTTAAAGCTGCCTGGTTTCTTTATGAAAAATAAACCAAAGTCCGATGGTGATGGTGCCGAAGGTGAATTACTAGAGAAAGAAAATAAAGAAGAAACGGAAGAGGGCGAAAGTAAACCCGTTAAAAAGGAAGAGAAGCCCGCTAAAAACTTTGGTGAACGTTTGCGCAACTTTTTTGTACGCAAACCTGCCGAGAAACAAGCTAAACAGCAGGCTGCCAATGCAGAAGCTGATAATAAAAGTGGTAAGTTTTGTCATAGCTTTTAAAACAAGAAAACTTAATTAACAAATATATTTATCCACAATTACAGAAGCTACCGCAGAAGCAGCAGAAGCCACGGCTGAACAGCAAAACTCAGATGGTCCTCCCAAGAAGAGAGGTCTCTTAAATGCCATCAAGTTGCCCATAGCCAATATGGTGCCTAAAAAGAAATCCGATGATGATGTAGAAATGGGCATGGGTAAAGCCGGCCTCGCCTCCATGGAGACTTTAGATGATTCCCTTAAAGATCAAGACTGTGTCGATAAGGCGTCGACAAAGAATAATGGTGTAGAAGAGATTGCTAAACTTAAGAAATCTCCCAGTGGAGAGATTAAACAGGCAAACGATGAAAAATCTCCCGAAGAAGTAGACGAACCACCAGTATCATTTTGCCAACGTTTACGTTCATATAAATGCTCTGTGGATGATGCTCTAATAGCTTTAGGCATTTTACTATTTGTCTTGCTTATTGCTGTTATTGGTTATGTGCTCTCGCATGAGACGCTTACCTCACCGCCCATAAGAGAGGGACGTTATATGGATGCTGTTACCGGCTGTGGCATGGTGGAAGGCTTGAAGGAAGATGGTGCTTTCGCTTTTCGTGGTATTCCTTATGCCTTACCACCCGTGGGTGATAGACGTTGGCGACCGGCTCAAATAATTGAAGGTATCGATGATTGCTGGAATGGCACTTTGAAAGCTCACAACTCCAGTGAACTGTGTACCCAGAGATTGGGTAATGGTACGGTAGTGGGAGATGAAGATTGTCTGTATTTGGATGTAGTTACACCACATGTACGCTACGATAATCCCTTACCGGTTATAGTAATGATAGGAGCAGAGAGTTTAACTGGTCCTTCACCTGGAGTTCTTAGACCTTCTGCCCGTTACTCACGTTCCCATGATGTTATATTTGTAAGACCCAATTTCCGTTTGGGAGCATTTGGTTTTTTAGCCTTAGAAGCTTTAACCAAGGATACTTATCCTCATACTTCGGGAAATTATGCTTTAAGTGACATTATTGCGGCCCTCAAATGGATCAAATTGAATATTGCTCATTTTGGTGGCGATCCCAAATCAGTTACTTTATTGGGTCACCGTGCTGGTGGTACTTTGGTATCTGCCTTAGTTACTTCGAAAAAGGCCGAAGATTTATATACACGAGCTTGGGTTTCCTCTGCCTCGGCCATTTTGCCCGGCAAAGCGTTAACGGAATCTGAGAAACGTAACCAGGAAATTATGCAAGCCATCGAATGCCAAGACGTGGATTGTCTGCGCAGCACAACAGCCGAAAAATTGTGGGATGCTACCCCTGATACTTGGTTACATTTCCCTCTTGACGTTCCCACTTTAGAAGAAAATTCTACTGCTCACCACGAATGGTTGGTAATTGATGGTGATATTTTACAAGAACATCCTGCCGAATCGTGGAAGATAGAACATACCGGTAATCCCAAATTGGTTATGGGTACTACGGCTCATGAATCTCACACAGATAAATTACATAAACGCACTAACTGGACGGCTGAAGAAGTACGCAATTTCTTGGAATCATCTAAAATTGGAGCTCTTAATCTAACCGACGAAGCCATACAACGTTATAATGCTACCAACTATCGTGCACTAATCTCTATGATCTCCGATATTCGCACCATCTGTCCGCTACTAACAAATGCCCGCCTTCAACCCTCAGTACCCTTCTATGTGGTCACACAGGGTGAGGGTGAAGAACAATTGGCAACTGTAGATGCCGATGTCCAGGCCATTTTGGGCCGTTATGAACCACACACTGTCGAACAAAGACGCTTTGTATCGTCCATGCAACAACTCTTCTACTACTATGTCTCCCATGGTACCATGCCACAGTACGAGCCCAGAAGACGAGTACTTAATATCGGTCAAGATCCTCTGCCACAAGAAGATTATCCCAATTGTAATTTCTGGATTAGTAACGATATTGTACCACGTTATGCTCGCGTCGATTAAGTCCCTACTAACTGAGACAGAACCCTAAAACTAAGCTCAGCTCTGACTGATAAAGATGAAGATGCTTATGATGACTGATTTAGTTTAACTTTATATTCTCGCCCTTACACTCACCCCCCAATTACACAAAATTTATTTTAGAGTTCGCATCATTCTAAAAAAAACATTATAATGTGAGTGTGAACGTGGAACAAAATCCCTTTAAGCAGACGTTAACAAAAAATCTCCACAATTTTCTCTTCTACTTCATTCTATATACATTTGTGAATTATATATATTTTTTTAATTATAATTTCATATTTTAATATGAATTGTAAGAAAATAATTTCCCAAAACTAACTTCGCAAAAATTCTCAATATTTCATTTTTTTGTTTTTAGTTTAGCTATTAAGCAAATTTAGTATTTAAAGTTTTGTAAATTTTATTAATAAGTTTTATTTTTTATACATAAACAACAACATTTTTTTTATTTTTAAATAATATCTCTAAGTTATGAACTATAAAAAGAAACAAAAAATATTAAAACAAGAAAAAAAAAATAAACATACGAACATAATAATTTATGCAAAATACTTGATATAAAACAAATGAAAACAAAAACAAAACAAAAAAACAAACATTCATACGTATTTTTTATGTAATTTATATATAAAAACAAAAAACATAAAACAACATTTTTTAAACAATAAAAAAATACTTTAAAAGTATACAAAATTTGTAATCTCTATTTGTTTTTTCACACCCACTGTACACTGTGTGTACTGTGTACCATCAATGTTTTTTTTTTTTGGGCCGTCTCATTATTGTTCACTGTGCATTGCGAAAAGTTATGACTTTTATTTTTTTTTCTAGACTATAGTTCATTCTGTAGTCAATACTATAGATCAATCTATAGTCAAGACTATAGATAGTCTATAGTCAAGATTATAGATCAGACTATAGTCAAGAATATAGATCAGTCTATAGGCGAAATTATAGATCAGCCTACATTCAAGATCTGTCTGCAGTCAAGACTATAGATCAATCTATAATCAAGGCTATAGATCTGTCTGTAGTCAAGACTATAGATCAGTCTATAGCAAAGACTATAGATCAGTCTATAGTCAAGACAGTCTATAGTTAAGGCTATAGATCAGTCTGCAGTCAAGACTATAGATCAGTCTGTAGTCAGGACTATAGATCAGTTTGTAGTCAGGACTATAGATCAGTCTATAGTCAAGACTATTGATCAGCCTATAGTCAAAACTATAAATCACTCTATCGTCGACACTATAGATCGGTCTATAGTCAAGACTACAGATCAGTCTATAGTTAAGACTATAGATCAGCCTATAGTTATGACTATAGATCAGTCTATAGCAAAGACTATAGATCAGTCTATAGTCAAGACTACAGATCAGTCTATAGTTAAGACTATAGATCAGTCTATAGCAAAGACTATAGATCAGTCTATAGTCAAGACTACAGATCAGTCTATAGTTAAGACTATAGATCAGTCTGCAGTCAAGACTATAGATCAGTTTGTAGTCAGGACTATAGATCAGTCTATAGTCAAGACTATAGATCAGTCTATAGTCAAAACTATAAATCACTCTATAGTCGACACTATAGATCAGTCTATAGTCAAGACTATAGATCGGTCAATAGTTAAGACTATATCTTCTATGCATTGCGAAAAGTTATGATTTTTCAGTATTTTTTCTAGACTATAGATCAGTTTATAGTCAAGATTTTATATAGATAACTCTATAGTCAAAACTATAGATCAATCTATACTTATGACTATAGATCACATCTGTCTGCAGTCAAGACTATAGATCTCTCTATAATCAAGGCTATAGATCTGTCTGTAGTCAAGACTATCTAATCAGTCTGTACTCAAGATCAGTCTATAGACAAGACATTTTTGTTCGGCCATCATCTGCATACTTAAACGACAACAACAAAAAGAAAATTTAGGAAATTATACAACAACCAAAATAGGAGTACTTTTTTAAATTAATTTTATTAAAATATAAACTATTACAATATTTAACCTTTGGAAAGCATTTATTTATTTATACATATAAAATGTAGTTAAAACCAAAATTTAAAACACACAAACTCTTGAGACTGTTATTCAAAAAAAATCAATAAAGAAAAATAAAAACGAAATAAATATAAAAAAATATTAAATTAATTTTTTACTCTGCTAACAATAAAATATTAGATTTTTTAAACTAAAGTCGAAATTAAAATGATATACTCGAAATTTGAAGAAAAATAAATTATAAAGCTAGTAAAAAACAGAAAAAAACTATGCACTAGTGACCAAAGTTTTATTATTGTATATAAAATATAAATGGGCACAAGAGGGTTAAACAAAATATTTTAAACTCGTATAAATTACCCAGCCTTAAATTTTTTTTTTATTAATTAATTTTTCCTTAAATATTTATTATGAAAAGAGAAAACGTTTATAAATTATACAAAAAAGTTTTGCATAAAAGAAAAGATATTTGTATGTAGATGTTAAAAAAAATAATAATATAAATTCAAATTGAAATGCTTGAAAAATGATTAGATTTCATCATAAAATATGAAACTGCTAATACGCTAAAATACTTTACATTCTAACAACAAATACAAACATATTTAATTTATTGTTTAACCAACTAACAGACAAACAAACATTCTTCTTCTTTACAATAATTACAGTTCGAGAAAAAACAAAAACAAAAATACTTGGTAATAAAATATAAATAAAATAATGAAGAAATCAAAAGATGTAATCGATGTAATTTTATACATATGTACATGTATACATTTACATACATATGTACATATTCTTATATATACATATATTGAAAAATCCAAAATTTAATAATAAATAATAAAATCTTAAATAAAACTTTAAAAAACTATAAAATTTTTTAAATTGAGTTTAAATTTGAAGAAGAGTCAATAATCTGTTTATAAATCAATATTATGTGACAATTCATTTTTTATTCAAAATCAATTTTTTGATGAAAATTTGCTTTTTTGGTAAAAACTTAGTGTTATTGAAAGTTGAAATTTTAGTGAAATTTTAAATTTTTTGTGAAAATTTGAATTTTTAGTGAAAATTTTCTGTTAGAATAGAAAATTTGAATTTTTAGTAAAAATTTTAAATTTTAGTGAAAATTTGAATTTTTATAAAAAAAACACATTTTCTGTAAAAATTTGAATTTCCATAAAAATTTGAATTTTGAAAACTTTAAAATTTTAATTACACTTGATGTGACATCTACCAAGATACTTATAGTACTGCATTCGCGCTGTCTAAGGATTCTAATAGGGATCTTAATGGGGCATTGCTCAATTAGAATCTTTGTCAGTAAGTGGGACAACCATATACCTGACCATTGCTGGACATACGAAGATGCGGACGAACTAGAGTCAATTGGTTTAGGCACATAATTTGCCTTTTTTCTAGAATACAGAATATCAGATTGAAATGGCTGGGAAATAAGTTCCATGACAAACTGAAGGAAAGTGCAGGACTCAACCCTTGCAGTCTACTAGGATTTATCAGGGGAATTTGTTATTTCTTTGACTAGGAAGACTCAGATTCTCTCACAATTTCCAGGTTGAAACCACTTAGGAATCGAGCTGATTTCATTCCTCTCTCCTCTTTACTTACATAATATGTTCATATTATTTTGGATCTTTGGATTATCACACACTATGACACTAATATGAGTTGCACCTTTTTATGGTGCATAACCCTTCTTAACCTAACAAAGATAACAGGTAACCAAGCTAGTTTAAAAACTTATAGATTTTGTATTGTCTGAATGGCCACCAGTATTTCGTAAAAATTAGATTTAGGATATATCTACGTTTACACTTATAAAAGTTCGTTCACACTTATAATAGTTCGTAAAGTTCTGGACAAAGTATTATACAGCTATCGAGCACTTCAAGCTGTTAGACTGTGAGCAGTGAATTGTAATCTCTACTGTTTTCAGTTAAGGGATTTGAATGAAATTATCTTACTACCTACTCTATCCTAACTTTGCAATAAAATCCCTTCCAAACTAATAACTTCACATTGCAAGTCTTGTGAGCACGAAAACAGACTCAATTTGCATAACTTTATGAAAACAATAGATTAGATGCCGGGTACCCGGAATATTTGATTCAAAATAACTTATTAGTACTAATTTTACAATTACATATGTACAGTATTCAAGTAAGGAATAAGATTAAAACTTACCTTGTAATGATTGAAATATTTTGCAAATTTTATGTAACAAAAAGTTGCAAATGTAATTAGTTGCAGTTTGCAAGCACCACACATAAAATTCAAGAATTTTATACATTTACTGTAAATTTCTCCATAGTTTTTATTATTTACACTTCACTTTACTTTTATTGAATTTATTAACATCAAAATATTTAATTTAATTTAACTTTAAGGCACATTTTAAACAAATCCTTTTAGCAAACGAAAATACAATGCAAATATGTAAATCCTTTTACGCGCTTAAACTTACAAAAACAAAAATTTATGTCAACTTGACAAATCCACAAACACATGCATGGCATGCGAACAAAAGAATTTGCCGTTGCTCAATAAATCGGCGGTTATGCCGTCAACGACAAAACGATTGTTAGTTTGCAATACAAATTGCATGCCTTGTCGTCAGATAGTTGTAGTTACAATTGTAATTATATTTATTTTTGGTTTTGTTATTGACCGTTGTTTACGTTTTTTTATCAAGCGAATTTAATGTTAATTCAAATTAAAAATTGGCACAAAGTTTAAAACAAAATAATCACAAGAAAAATAAAAAATTAAATAGTTTTAATAAAATAATACGGTTTGGCGAATAGTTATTATTATTCCTCGTAATTACATATTAATAAATCCAATAAACACTGGCTATTTTTTTAATTACATTCCACCGTTTTAAATCAAATATTTGTGATATATTTAATAGCAATTTTTAAAGTGAATTGTTTAATCCCTATTTTATCAACAAAATCTTGATGTTGTATACATACATAGACACATAGATTGAGGTAAGTTTTTAAGTTTAAGGCCGTTGTTTGACATAACAGTTTGACTGGTCGATTGTTTTTTCCCGGGGAAAAATATTCGTTTGGTGCAGCTGTCGCTCAGTATTATAAACGTTTTTTCGTTTCGGATCGAATTGTAATGGAAACGAGTGTTCCGAGAAAACACTATAAATAGACAAGAAGTATGTAATTTGCATTCCAAAACACTAAACAGGAAAATAAATATTTATCAGGATAGGTATCTCGGTATAATTTTAATTTCATTGTAAGCTCCGGAGTTCAAGAAATATCAAACAACAAGTTTTACAAGATTTTATATGTATAGATTTTTTTTATTTATTATTAACAATAACTAGTTGTAAGTAAAATATTAAATTATTAATTAATATTAATGTTTACGTTTTTTGGAAAACATTTTACCGCCACTTGGTTTTGATTTATTTTTATACGATTTATTATTCGAACGTCTTTGTTCTTCCCATTTCAATTGTTTTTCGGAGGATTTATCTGTATTGAAAACAGCATTCAAGGTACCTTGGCCCTTAGTTTTGCCAGTTTCTTCTAACAATTCAGCAAAGTCGTCAGCAGCCGCAAAGAGGGAACTCATGTCTATATAAAAAAAAAACAAAAATATAAATAAATATTTAATAATAACATTGAATTAAATTAATTATAATAAATAAATTACCATCGCTATGTTTTAACTTTTTAGCAAAGTTACGTTCGTTCATATCTGTTAATGCGTCCTTCTTAGATTTTTTATGTTTTGGTTCACCTTCCCCATCTTCGTCTGAATCACTATCTATGCTATGTTCATCTTCGTCGTCAAGATCTTCATCCATAGATATAGAAGCATCATCATCGTCTTCATCATCCTCCTCAGCATTTGCATCAAAATCAATAGAACCCTCTTCATCATCTGATAAATCGCTTCCTTTGTCATCATCATCCTCATCATCGTCACCCCAATCAGCATCAATATCTTCCATATTATCCTCTTCATCATCAGCAACCTTTTTCTTGGCTTTTCCTTTACTCTTTTTAGACTCGCCACCCAGTACACCCTCAAACTCTTTGAGAAAGTCTAATTCTTCTTCACCCGGCTCATGTTTGTCCTCTTTCTTAGATTTTTTACCAAAGAATCCATCAAGATATTGTTCAAATTCATCATCATCCACATCTCCCGCTTTCAAATCGCCCTCAGCCTCTTCTTCATCGTCATCAGCAGAAGTTTTCGCCACAACCGATTGCTTGCGTTTTTGTTCCAAATAATTAAATATAAACATTTCCTCTTCACTGCAATTGTTACGAGTTAAAGACTTTACTGGCATGCCACGAGGACCATATGAAACATAATGCTTGTGACCTATTGTAGTGACATTGGATTTTTCTTGATCCAACTTTTTGGGATTTTTGAAAGAAAATCTTTCCAGGAAATGGGGCAAACCAAAATCACGCAATGGATCACCATAGTAATCAATACGTTTGTCTGGAAAAAAAAAAAAAATAAGTGTTAAAAAATTGCAACAAAGTATTAACTAAAGATTAACTTACTATTTAAAATGCTTTCGGCAAAAACTTGAACTGTAGGATGGAAATGTTCCCTCAACAATAGTAGCTCGTTGCGTAGACAGTATTCGGCTCCCGCAAATGCTGGTACTCTATGATAAGGATCATATTTACTGGGATTCAACTCACGCACCTTGCCTTCACTCTCACATGCTGCTACTTTGGAATGATGCCATGACGATTCAACATTGCTTGTATCCGGCTTCTTTTCCTCAATCTTTTCTTCACTAGTATCTTTAACATCATCGTATTTTTCTTCACCATCACTATCAAACTTTGCCAATTCCTCGTCAGTCACTGATACTTTTATGGTATTAGTACCGTTGCTAGACTTGCTATCCTGTTCAAGGCACAGTTCTTTGCGACTACGCAATAATTTGTGTATAACTATTAAACAACCTGCAGCTACATTTGAGGGCATGCATAAGGCCAACTGCAGCAAGCGTTTAATAAATGCTTGAGCTCTAGGTATATTTGCATCGATAAAAATGGCTCTGTGGACAATGTGCAACAGTTGAGCAGCACTTTTAACACCAATCGTGATTAGATTCATGTCAAGCATCTTTATGTATAAAGCATTATAGAAACGATCACTTTTCTCTGTCTTGACGGTAACCAATTGCAGTAATAAACCAAGCGTCTGTATGGATACACGAATATCCGCCAAATGCACCAAACGATAGATGGTATCTTGCATTTCTTTGCTTAACAACTCTGTGCTTCCAGCAGCAGGCTTAGCTTCTAAGATGGCTTTCTGTAAACAGCGTAAGATGGCCTGCATTGTGCGATTATTGATGGCACCTTTTTGTACCAAAACCTTGAAGAGGGAAAAACAAATGTGTACTAATTTTGTACAGACTTCCGGTCGACCTGCAGGTGCTATGCTAGCCAAATAGCAAAGAGCAAAATGTTGAGCACGCTCCGAGATATTATTACGGAAGAGTAACTTTTCAGTTTCATTAACTATTACACCACACATATTGGGATGTCTGTGAGCCACATCGGTCAAATGATGTAAAGCTTTTGAGGCAATCTTAGCCACTGGATCACCCAACTTATTGATCAGCATGGTCAGTAACATTTGTTCTTTTTCGGGAGCAAATGATAACAACTGTGATGCTGTTAATATAGAGACAGTTTTATTGTTATCCTGTCCCGTCTGGATGCCTTGTTGAATATTTTTTAAAAATTCTACAAACCAAAAAAAGTTGATTAAACAATCAATTGAAAACTTGATTCTTCTTACCAAAATACTGATCTTTTAGCTCATTTTCAAAATGCCAATAAGCATAGATTTTCCTTTGCTGTTCTTTAGTGAGGTTTGTATCCTTACGTACCAATTTCCAATCAGCACCACGCATGTGAAGAGAATATAGTTTACGATGAGGTGGCAGCAATACCTCTTTCCACAAGTCTGTAACTATGGCTATAACTTCAGCACTAGATTTATTTGATATCTTAGTGAAACTGATAAGAGTGGAAAGTGAGTCAAGATTAGCTAGAGGATTGCTAGTCACCAATAAGGCACCAGCATTAGCACGATCCTTTGCTGTACCCTTGTGGAGGGCAGTTTGAAGCCATCTAGCATCGGAGGGATTATCTGCAATAAAAAAATACACTATTGCTCTACATATGTTTGCAAATAAATCACGCAATGGCTACTTACTTTTTAAAAATATCACTTTTTCCTGTTCATAAGAAGAGCGGCAAATGTTGTGTAGTTCCATTTGTTCACTGTCTTTCATATCTAAAATTTCCTCGCTAGCTGGAAATTGCGGAAACTACAAAGCAAATCAAATAAATATCACAATCTCAATTGTGTCTCAAACAAACTCACCACATAATACCATTTTTTCTGTGTCTCTGAAGCCTTTTCAATGTTTTCAAATTGTTGTTTTGTTTTTTTCTTTTCCCGTTTGGCAAAATAGTCCTCCTCATCCTCTTCAGCATTTTGTGCCTCATCTTCAGTTTTGATATCGTCTACACTTTCATCATGTTCATTTTTCCCGGACGACTTTTGCTTTTTATTTTTCGATTTTTGTTTTGTTTCAGTGATGACTTCACCATCATCATCAAATACAATTTTTTTAGGTTTTGCATTTAATTCGATTTTAGGAACTGCCATTATTTAAAAAAACACTAGCAAATTTAGTTAAAAACAATTTATATTTTATTTTGTTTTAAATAAAACTAACCCGCACGTGTAGTATAAGCAGAACCCTACGTCGGTTATTATTAACGGCAGCGGCGTCCGACACGAAAAAGGGCGGCGGCGGCAAAACAGCGACAGGCACGCCGGAGAGAGGGACAAAGGCGCAGAGACAGAGGGCAAGACAGACAGGAGAGGGACAAAGAGGAAGAGGGGGGGACGGACGGACGGACGGACGGACGGACGGAGGACGACGGACAGACGGACGGACGGACGGACGGAGGACGACGGACGGACGGACGGACGGACGGACGACGGACGGACGGACGGACGACGGACGGACGGACGGACGGACGGACGGACGGACGGACGACGGACGGACGGAGGACGGACGACGGACGGACGGACGGACGGACGGACGGACGGACGGACGGACGGACGGACGGACGGACGGACGACGGACGGACGGACGGACGGACGGACGGACGGACGGACGGACGGACGGACGGGGACGGACGGACGGACGACGGACGGACGGACGGACGGACGGACGACGGACGGACGGACGGACGACGGACGGACGGACGGACGGACGGACGGACGGAGTTACTTACTTACTTACTTACTTACTTACTTACTTACTTACTTACTTACTTACTTACTTACTTACTTACTTACTTACTTACTTACTTACTTACTTACTTACTTACTTACTTACTTACTACTTACTTACTTACTTACTTACTACTTACTTACTTACTTACTTACTTACTTACTTACTTACTTACTTACTTACTACTTACTTACTTACTTACTTACTTACTTACTTACTTACTTACTTACTTACTTACTTACTTACTTACTTACTTACTTACTTACTTACTTACTTACTTACTTACTTACTTACTTACTTACTTACTTACTTACTTACTTACTTACTTACTTACTTACTTACTTACTTACTTACTTACTTACTTACTTACTTACTTACTTACTTACTTACTTACTTACTTACTTACTTACTTACTTACTTACTTACTTACTTACTTACTTACTTACTTACTTACTTACTTACTTACTTACTTACTTACTTACTTACTTACTTACTTACTTACTTACTTACTTACTTCGATTCAAAATGTAATTAGAACAGGTGACTTTATCATTATGAATCATTTTTAAAATAACAATCTGACATCGTCTGTCAAGACATTTTTATGTCTCAATTCTATAACACAAAAATGTCATATACAAAAAACCAACCCTATTGGCATCACAACAATAAACAAAATAATCCAGGAAAGAAAACCGCAAAAATGTAAGTATAACACAATTCGTATTGAAAATCTTTAAATACTAGAGACTAGAGCAACTTTAAGCAAATCAATTGCTTGTTGGAGACATTAATTTTCGAAAAATAACTCAAATATACAGTTAATTTAGCAACAAATCTAAAGCAAACAAAAAAACACATTTCTTTTGACTCAGTGTAAAGAAAAAAATCATCAAAAATTGCTGCTCAACACAAGTGGGACTACTCCCAAACAAGTCTTTGCTGTTTCTTCGAAAACCAAAACACCATGAACGAGGCAGCCTTAGCTGGAATGATACCGTACGATACAATTGGCCTATATGAACAACCGAAACCACGTTTCATATTTAAAATGCCGCGTGTGGTTCCTGATCAAAAGTCGAAATTCGAAAGTGATGAACTTTTTCGTCGTTTGAGCAGGGAGAGTGAGATACGGTATACGGGTTATCGTGAGCGAGCTTTGGAGGAAAGACAAATACGCTTTCAAAATGGCTGCCGGGAAGGTCACACTGAGATTTCATTTGTGGCATCGGGCACAAATTTACAACTGGTTTTCAATGCCACCCAGAATCCCTATATACACGACAAGGAGTGCGAGTTTGAAAAGGAGCCGGGAAAGGTGCATATTAAATCTTATTTCATTATGAATGGAGTATGTGTGCGTTTCCGCGGCTGGCTAGATCTGGAGAGGTTGGATGGTGTCGGTTGCTTGGAGTATGACGAACGCAGGGCTATGCACGAAGATGCTATACTAAGAGATCAGATAGATCGTTATAACCAAAGATTGCGGGAATTTGAGGATTCTAAAAGAGCTTATCGGGAAAATCGTCCAGAAGACATGGACGCCGTACGACGGGGTGTAGCCTCGGGCGGTATTGGAGTTGGTGCAGCAAATATATGGCGACGTTAGAGACATTATTTTCATAATTATATTGCAATTTCATTTTATATCATCATTTTAACCAAAAATATATTCTTTACATCACAGCTCATTTTTAAATATTTAAGAGATAAAACGTATTAAATTTTTAAGTAAAATTATAATAATTGCATTCATTATTATATAAACGTACTTGTAAACTTAAACATATAAATAAAATAAAACTTAGAAAAACCAGTTGCAGCTGCCTTTGATTTCTTAATTTAGAGTATGACTCACCCTCTGTCGATTTTATAAAAACCACATCTTAGAAATAAATTCTTTGAAATTTATTTTCGGGTCAAGTTCACGATAGACGTACCGAGAACTTGACGTCTGCTAGCAATACTTTTTTTTAGTAAAAAAAAAAGTTTTGATTTAAAATAGATTTAAATTTTTTACTAAAAATTAGATTTCAAAATTTGCTATTTTTCTAAAAATTGTTTTTTCAATACAAATATTTGTATAATTTAATTAAAAATATCGTTTTTTATTATTGTTTTTAATTGTCTAACATCTTTATTTGGGATTTTTATAGATCGTTTGAAAATTAAACAAAAAATAAATACTGATTATTTAATTATTATGTAGTATATTTATTATTTTTTTAAGAAAAAATTATATGGACACTTTATTATAGTGTGGAATCGTTTCATAGTCGATCATTGCAACAATGTTAGTCGAAAAAAGTTTTTTTTTTATAAAATAATTATTGTTTGAAACATGAATAAAAATTAAAGTTGTTTATAATAATCTAACGAAATTGAAGATTCGATATCCTTAATCCTATACAATCCTTGCCAATTTGGCTCACTTCACAGACGGTGCAAATCTGGTTCTTATATTGAGGATCGTATGAGGCTCCACAGAAGGGACAGTTCACTTCGGGTTTACCACGATACAAGGGTTTAAAGCTTATACCACATATGCTGAATGGATTAAATTCTTCATATTGCAGGTGATGTTCATCAACGGGATTAACTTCACAAGCCTGTAGAATCTTACGGACTTGTTGAGCTACCTCGGGACGTGGTCCTAATTCTAATAGACGTCTAGCAAATGAGGCAGCTGTCTTGTAGTTTTTCAATTTGAAGAACATATTGAGGGCTGTGCGTAGGGTGAGAATTTGATGTACAGGCTGTAGTTTGCAATGTGTAAAGTAGGCAGCCATTTCACATAATCTCTTCTGTTCTTCCAATGTTGATTTGGGTAAACCTTTACGTACGGTTTCCATTTTAAGACCCAAAATGTACTCAGCACAGATCTTAAGCAATTGTTGGGCTTCAGCTATGTCTTGTTTTGTTTCAACGACCAAGAAGGGAATGCTTATTAATATCGAATGGAATTTTTCGACAGCTTCTGAGAATTTTCCACCAGTGGTCAATTGATAACCAGCCTGAAGTCTTTGCACCAAATCATTTAACTTTATGCCCAATGCAGGGCGTTGTTGTTTGGCATTAGTCTCGGCATAGTTGCGTAAAGGATAAGCTGTCAATGGCTGTAAATTGGGCATGGCGGTAAAACTGGTTTTAGAGCAACTGTAGTTTTGCATAAAGAGCGTTTTGAAAGGCTTAAAGTTTACTATGCCCAGTTGTTCGTTGAGCAAACGGAATGCAGTTTCAAATGATCCGGCCTTAATATGATCCAACACTAAAGGCGAGTGGTTTGCCCAGTGTTGTGGTGGAGATTGTCCCCTGTTAGGAGCAGCATAATAGCCACTGTCAAGAGCAGAGGCTTTAATTTTCGAAGCCAACTCTTCTGGCACTACCAAATCATCATCGCCTACATCCCAGCCAGCGCCTTCTTCACCAACGCCTTCACCACCATCTTCTGTATTAAGAGCATCTTGCATCTCATCATCGCCATCATCGTCTAGACCCAAGTCAGCATCGGCACCCCAACCATCGCCAGCAGAAACATCCAAGGCTGCATCAGCATTAACATTGAGAGCTTGTCTGGCGGTGGCACTAGTACCTGCACGCGTCAACATGGCGCCTTCAAAGAAGCCCTTGGATACACTGAGCAAAGGCCAGTTGGTTTCAACCTGTTGTATTGGTACGGGTGGCTTCAGTAATGTAGCATTTGGATTTACTTCGGGCAAAGTATTGCCCTCTTGAGCAATAACTTCGCCTAAGGCAGCTGCCTGCTCATCAAGACCATGTGTAGCTGCAGTTAGGTATGCCAAGGACATCTGGCCGCAATTCTTTAAAACATTAACGCGTTCTTTGACATCGCCCAAGAGAAGAGCTCCTTGATACTGAGCAGACACATCCTTTCTAATCTCTGCAATCTTATTCATTTTACGAAGTTTCTCCAAGTTGCCAGTGATGAGATAAAGGAAACTTAATTTGTCGAAATTCTTGGTACGTTGATAACACATCTCCACAATTTGATGATTGCCCTGCAGAAGCGCAGCCTGGCCGAGTCTGTCCCAACATTCCTTATCATCGAGAGCTTTTGCGGCTTCTAAAGCTATTTCAATATTACCACATTCGAGAGCTAAACCAAAACGTGTCTTCTCGTCTTTTACGAAATGAAGGGCCACCTCTGGATAGCCCTTCTGTTGCAAATAGGCAATAATACTTTGACCAACCAAACGAGCATTTCGCACCATATGCAATACTTCGTCGTATTTACGGTTGATAAGGGCCAATTTAAATTTATATTCAGTTGGGTCAATATGCAACACACGAGTGCGACACTCACGATCCAAACAGAATACTTGGTTGCCTTTGACTCGAGTCAAATATATGGGCAAGTCAAGTGTGCGAATAATACCATGATCACCATTTGTCAAAGCGTATTTAATGTGATTGCTGGTGGTGTAAATAAATACGCCCGAATCATCCCAAGCGCCGGATTTGACACGACAGTTCTCCTGTATCGTACACAAATACTGCAAACGTCTATCACAAATAGTAACCGAATGTTTACACAACAGAGCTACCAATGACATGTCAGGAGACCAGACAACATAGCGACATTTAGCCAGCTTAATACTGCCCACAGATACCAAACGTTGAACTTCATAAAGCGTTACATACTCTGGATCGCGGATCAGCAACATTCCAGTACCGGCATAGAAGATCTCTTCACAGAAGGTTGGTATCTTTTTAGTGACCTCATTTTTAAAGTTTTTAATAACAAGTTGCTGATTACGATCGAGAACAGCAAAACGATTGCGGGCCACCCATATGGCTGTTATACCCGACGAACGTTTACTGTCATTTTCACTTTGAGATTCAGCATCTTTGGGAATTTGACACAAATCATAAGTGCTATTTTCCAAGTTGTTGGTGCGTGTACAGACGAGGACAGCATTTAAAGCAGGGTTATAAGACATGCTGTGCACCGGTGATTTACCGCCACCGCGCAATTGCATAACAACGGTATCCTTGGTGGTGGTAAAGTCCAATTTGCGTAGAAAACGTTCTTTTACATAATAAAGAATGTTGCCGTGTACGGCATATGCAGGGCGTTCACGTTCCAACTTAAAAACAACCATACCTAAAAGGAATAAAATCTGGTTTAGTTCATTAAGATTTTAACTTAAAAATAATTAACTCACCTCCGTCATGACCAGCAGCAAACAAATTCAATGTGGGATGTGCGGTTAAAACCCAAAAACGCTCTCCATCACGGCGGAACGTGTACAAACACTGGCGTTTTGTCATGTCCCAAACACGGATACTACGATCTTCGCCATTGGAAATTATAAGATCTTGACGTGGATGAAAAAGAACACAGGAAACATTGTTATAATGACCACGGCATGTATCGACTTCCCAGGCTTTATATTCATTCATACGCCATAGCTTAACCAAACGATCATCGGCGCCCGAAACAATTAGAGGCAATGTTGGATGGAAACTGGCCCAGTTTACACCACGATCATGACCTTCCAATACATGCTTAACGACAGCATCTGCTTGTCCAAATAAATCAGCAGTACCTGGGTGACCCTTAAGGTGATCATCCAAACCGCCAGGACCGGGAGCGACATTTTTCTTACGAAGACCCGATATATCCCAAACACGTACTGTTTGATCTAATGAAGCCGAAACAATTTGATCTTCAGTTGGGTGGAACTGAGCACACATCACGTAGTGATTGTGACCCGTCAACACACAAATACAGTTACGCGATTGCCAATTCCAAATACGTATGGTCTGATCGTCAGAAGCACTAAGTATCCAAGGATATTCATGATGGAATGCCACCGTACGCACATAATCCAAATGAGCCAGCAACGTGAAGATGCAACGACGTTGTTTATAATTCCACACTTTGATTTTGTAATCATCACCACCGGAAACGAACAATGGCATTTGCTGATGGAATGCTACGCCACGTACTGGGCCATCGTGTTCGTCGAACTTCTCCAGCAGAGTGTGCATGCGATAATCCCACAATTGAATTACACCACTATGTAAACTTACGAGAATCCATGGTCGTTTTGGATGAAAAGATAAGCCCTTTACACGGGCCGATTTCGACTCAAAGTTGGTCAACATTTTTCAAGTAATTTACCTATTAACTTTTGCACAAATATAAAGTACTTTTTTCTCTATTGTGTTAACAACTTTTGTTCGTAAATATCGACGTGAACAAATTTTCTTTTTTTCTTAATTTTTCTGATACAAATCGTTCACACAAGAATATTCCACGTCATTTCATTTAATTCACAATTATTACAATGATGCCACCCAACGTAGTTGCCATATTTAATCGTTTAAGGGCCCTTCACACGGTCACACTTTACATACAACCCTACAAGAAATGAATGACCGAAACTAACACATACAAAATTATTTTACTAACACACTTGTAGATTTTTTTAGAGAATTCTATAAAAAAAATGTATAATTCCATCAACAATGACAGCCAAATGACCGGTAAAATGACCGACATTGTACCAAACGTGTGGTATAAGGTTGCATTTGCATACGCAAGAGTGAAACAACTATATTTTGATTAATATTTTATTAAAATTTATATTTCCATCAACAATGACAGTCAAATGACCGATCAAATGACTGTCACTGTGTTTCAGAGTTGTATTTTTCGTCGTTATAAATTCATTATTTCTGCGAAAGCCAAAGTTCAAGAAGCGAAAAATTAAAAAATTTACAAAGTCTATAAATTATTAAAAATAAAGAGAATTATTATAAACTGAATTTAAAAAAAGTGCAGGAAGTGGAGCTGAAGATAAACACTTTGGAGTTTAATCAATCTATGGTAACATGAATACTTACTTTTGATTTTTATATTTCGATATTTATATGTATTTCTTTACAGACAACTTATTTCCACAAATTAAAAGGAGAATCAGAGAATTTAAGATTCTGCGAGGTATGTAAAATGGTGAAATGATTGCTAATTTATGTATATGCTTACTATATTAATAAAATTAAAAAAAATAGATATCTTAAAATATTAATAAATTGTGTTTTATTATAAATTGGTATAGCCGTCAGTTTTGACGGATATATTCATCAAGTATGATTAGTCAACAATGACCGATTAATACATCATTTTTTATTTGTTAACTGTGATGGATATATCCATCAAGCATGATCAGTCAATCGTGACTAATATTTATATCATCCTTGATTACTAATCATCAAAAGAGTGAGCAGCTCAAATATATGTGTTAAAATCGATATAATTCATAAGTGCGAGTGTGATGAAAGATCACATGTACACAAAAGTTTCCATCAAGTTTTTCATATTGCCCTTAAGAACTTGATAGAAACTTTGTTCTACGCAATGATCGATATTTCCTTCAGTAGTGTCAGTCAACCCTACAAGAAATGAATGACCGAAACTAACACATACAAAATTATTTTACTAACACACTTGCAGATTTTTTTTAGAGAATTCTATAAAAAAAATTATAATTCCATCAACAATGACAGCCAAATGACTGGTAAAATGACCGACACTGTGCCAAACGTGTGGTATAAGGTTGCATTTGCATACGCAAGAGTGAAACAACTACATTTTGAATAATATTTTATTAAATTTTATATTACCATCAACAATGACAGTCAAATGACCGATCAAATGACTGTCACTGTGTTTCAGAGTTGTATTGTTCGTCGTTATAAATTCATTATTTCTGCGAAAGCCAAAGATCAAGAAGCGAAAAATTACAAAAATTTACAAAGTCTATAAATTATTAAAAATAAAGAGAATTATTATAAACTGAATTTAAAAAAAGTGCAGGAAGTGGAGTTGAAGATAAACACTTTGGAGTTTAATCAATCTATGGTAACATGAATACTTACTTTTGATTTTTATATTTCGATATTTATATGTATTTCTTTGCAGACTTACTTATTTCCACAAATTAAAAAGAGCATCAGAGGATTTAAGATTCTGCGAGGTATGTAAAATGGTGAAATGATTGTTAATTTATGTATATGCTTACTATATTAATAAAATTAAAAAAATTTATATCTTAAAATATTAATAAATTGTGTTTTATTATAAATTGATATAGCCGTCAGTTTTGACGGATATATTCATCAAGTATGATTAGTCAACAATGACCGATTAATACATCATTTTTTATTTGTTAACTGTGATGGATATATCCATCAAGCATGATCAGTCAATCGTGACTAATATTTATATCATCCTTGATTACTAAACATCAAAAGAGTGAGCAGCTCAAATATATGTGTTACAGTCGATATAATTCATAAGTGCGAGGGTGATGCAAGATCACATGGACAGGAAAGTTTCCATCAAGTTTTTCATATTGCCCTTAAGAACTTGATAGAAACTTTGTTCTACGCAATGATCGATATTTCCTTCAGTAGTGTCAGTCAAATGACCGGTCAAATGACTGTCACTGTTCTTGTAGGGAAATGACTGTCACTGTTCTTGTAGGGAAGTCTAATGAAAAAGTAAAATAAAATTCCATCCGTATGACAAAAAAGAGAATAAAAGTCGTATGATTTATATTTTTTGTGTTTACACGATTGGTATAAAACAATAACAAAGTAAGATGGAACAGCTGTTTCACTTTTTTTGTATGTGTTTACATAAAAATACATCCCTGATCTAATGCGACTTGCTTGTTTTTTGAATCATTTCAAAAAATGAAGAGAGCCATACGACTGTCAAATTTTTCATCCGTATTTTCTCTCAATGTGTGATGGTTTCATTACATATTGCGTTTAGACGATCCCATCCGTTCTCTTCTACACAAAATTTTGACAGATCATATTACTTGTGTGCTCGTGTGAAGGGGGCTTTACATCCAACTAATTGGCTTCAATTGAAAACGACTTCACATTTTGCAATATTTATGTGATTCCCTCGCAATTGTAATTTAATGCGATAGAAATTAGTATAAGTTCAGAGTATCCATAAACAATTCTGTAAAGCATGATGTAATAAGTAATGATTGCACATTACTTAGTGCATCCTGGCATGATGAAAAGTTCGACTTTTTGACTTCTATTATATTTCAATAATTTTGAAACCCTTAGCAGCATTCAAAAAACAATACGAAATAAAAATAATTTTTACACACCATATATATTAAGGGAAAATGAGATTTCTTACATTATTGATCTAGAATTTTGTATACAAAATGTATTAGGAAAATATGGGTAGGATTTTAAATGTCATATCGATGTAGCAGCAACAAAAATATTTCAATCGAACCCGATATACAGTGTCTCACATAAGTATTCGAGTTTAGGTGTACTTTTAAAGGAAACATAATTTAATAATATTTATTGTGTGTAAAATTAATAATTAAATTTGATATATTGTCTAGAGAGTCTTAAGGTTTAATATCACACTCCTTAAAATTTGGATAATTTACATTTACTTAAATAAATTTAACTTTTTTAAAAAAAAGTCCATAAAATTACTTCACAAAAGTATACGAATTTTTCCTGTATTTCATATTTGACCATATTTTACGAAACATAAAAATTAGAATCGAATGGTCTTTTTGCTTAAAATTGTTTCAAGAGGTTACTATCAATCGAAAGGATATATTTTTGCCCCATTTGGCCCACAATTTTGGGGCATTTGTACCATCTTTTCATATAATATCATTAAAATGACGATTTTTGACCATATTTGCCATTTTTTATCTCTTTTTCCAGAGATAAACCCAAAATTTAATATTGGGATTTAATAGATTCCTTGAGGTAGGTATCTAAAAATAATAATTTTTGTTATAAGGACCTGTATTTAAACATTCCAAGATATATTTTTGGTATCGTTTTTCTGTTTCTAATTGAATTATCTGGATCTTAAGAGCCTTTTCGTATCACTAGGATCGATATTTTCCGACAAAGTTGGCTATTATTATATTATTGTAGATATTAGCACTAATATATTTTAAATTTTCAAAGCATCGTAGTGGTATACAACTCCAAAACATGCCTTAACAAAACGTCATCCTATACAGTAGATTTCAGTTTTTACTCATAACATTCACGATTATGTTGCCCATTACAACAACGCTGTATGTCCAAAATTTTGGGTTTATTTTGATCATAGTAGATAATATTTAAACAGATATCAATATTTTTGAGTTAGACCATAATGATATGGCGACATTCAGCCTAGAGGCCATTGGTTATAAAAAGAATGATTCCACTATATTGTATGGCGTTTCTTCGAGGCATGCTTTGGAATTGTACACTTCCACAATATATTGAAGACTTTAAATGTATAACAGCTGATATCTAAAACAATATATAGAAGACAAGTTTCCCCGAAAATTTTTGACCCTGGTATTATAAAAATGGACTTGAGATCCAATAAATTGAATTAGCGATAGAAGAATGATTCCAATAATATATATTGGAACGTTTAAATACAGATTCTTGTAACAAAAAATATTGTTTTTAGATACCCCAAGGGGTATATTAAATCCCAATAACAAATTTTGGTTTTATCTCTGGGAAAAAGGAGAAAAAATACAAATATTGTCAAAAATCGCCATTTTAATGATATTACATGAAAAGATGGCACAAATGCCCCAAAATTGTGGACCAAATGGGCCAAAAGTATATCCATTCGGTTGATAGTTACCCCTTAAAACAATTTTTAGCAAAAAAACATTCGATTCTAATTTTTGTGTTTCGTATAATATAGTCAAATATGAAATACAGGAAAAATTCGTATACTTTTGTGAGGTAATTTTATGGACTTTTTTTAAATAAAGCTAAATTAATTTAAGTAAATGTGAATTTTTAAAGTTTTAAAAAGTGTGATATCAAAGCTAAGGACTGTCTAGACAATTTAACAAATTAAGTTATGAATTTTGCATTCAAAATATATTATTAAATTTGGTTTCTTTTCATATTATACCTAAATTCGAATACTTATGAGAGACACTGTATATATCTTACATTCACAAATTTGGTTTGATAATAAAAAAATACCTATACATTTATCATTTTTGTTTGTTTAAATTTAAACACTTACATATATTAATAAAAAAACAAGGAGTAGTAATTAATAGTATTAAGTAATGGAAATATCCTTTAGGTAGAGTTTAATTTGTATAGTCTGCATTTGGTTTCGGTTAAGGCGGCCAAATAGGTAAAATCTTTTGTGTATATGGGGCAAGTATCATAAATTATATCTTGCGCTGGCAATGATTGTATGCACTGCTCACGATTAGCATCATATAATGATAATAATTTTGAATCTTGTATATACGACGCTACTAGTGTATTTGAATCCACGGTGATTTGGGAACAACGAGCCATCACGGGACTGTTGGTGGATGCGAAGAATGTAACTTGTATTTCATACACTGGAACGCTATTGATTTTATTAAGTTTTCCTAGTATATAACGCGCGCGAGGATAACGGGCACAACTCCTTGTTTGTACTAGTAGACTAAATTGGGCGGCATTAAAATCCATGGAAATAAAACGTCCTTCTATAGCTAGACGCGTTGAGCGTGTCACACCTCCCGTATGTTCATAAAACCACAAAGATGTAAGTTTGCACACCAGAAATCCACCACAAGGAAATAATTGACTGGATGGTATTGAAGCTACTTGTATCACGGGGCTAAAATCTCCTTCGGCTTGATGTTCGCTCAAAATTGTATCTGGCAAACGTGTGTCATACACATAAATGCTGCCTTGCTGAGAGCCAAGGTAGAGAAAGTGCTCACTATCTCTGCGCCCTAAAGAACAGGACCATAATGGTTTCTCCGCCGGCTTAAATGTTGCCGCCACTGAAAGAGTGCGCAAATCAAATAGTTTTACCTTTGACTCCATGCTTGCGGCCGCTAGTAACTGCTGGTCATCAGATAGACTTATATCTCTCACTAGCTTAAGGGAAGTATGTAGAAAATTAGTTGGTTTAAAGGAAATTGTATCGACAAATCTTAAACCATAGCCGGGAAATAGATTCTGGATGCTCTTTTGAGAAACTATTAAAGCGGTATGTTCCTTGGCATAAGTCAGAACACGACAACCAGGCTCTCTTGATATCTCAATATTACGTTCCATAAACAATTTATACATTAACGAAGCTTTTCGAGCTACAATTTTTGGAAAGTTAGAAGCGGAGCCGCCACCATTTCTCAGCAAAACATTGAGTGAATCATTGTCAGATTCTAATGCCTTTAGTTTTTGCGTTACCTGAGCATATGACATCTTTAAAGTTGCCAATTCCAATGTCAAACTTTGTGCTTTACTTTGTACTTCAGTCAGCTGTTCACGCATACGGTGCTCTTCACTGCGGTCTATGGCTCTTAAACGTTTTGCATATAAATAGCGTATGTCTTTGGCATGTGCCTTTGTTTTACATTGCGGGCACACCTTTTGTCCCGACTGACGAGAACTCTCCTGCAGCCAACGACGTATGCAGGAATCGCCAAACAAATGGCCACACTTAAGCGATGCAAGTCGATGTTCCCCCGACATTTCCCAATTATCCAAACAAATGGGACATGTTAAGCCATCGTCTTCATCGTCCAAATCATTTTCGTTTCTGGCTTTTACTTTGGGAGTGCAACTGATGGCACTCGCCTCTAACGATAAACGTTTTCGCTTTTTAGGTGGTGAAGGAGAGTCTAAATTTATTACTTCATTGTTGGAATTCATATTTACGTTGGCAACTGGTTGAATTTCAAGAGCATTTGAAGCAGCATCAACAACTGGCTGAGGATTTTCTTCTATGGAGGCTACAATTAAAATACGAAAATTATATAAATATGTTATTGCATATTAATTGTGTACGTTTCCATTCTACCTGCTTCGGATTGCACAGATCTCGATGACATGGAATCACTAGTTTGCTCTGAGAAATTAGTTTGTTCAGACGAACTGGACTGTTCGGAATGTGTTTGATCGGAGGATATGGTTGTCACCGTGCTAATCGAATCTTCTGATCTATTATCTAATAAAAATAAAAACTTTTTAATCTACTAATTTAAACAAGCTTAAGTTCCGACCTACAGTATGAATAAAAGTAAACTGTAATTTTTGTGCAAAAAATAGTACAAACATAAAAAATAGACATTTGGTAAAAAATATTGTCTTAATGGCATACATATAACTAAATGTATCCCTTTACTAGCAAGATTTGCAAAATGGTCGATATTGTCTCTACTTGTTCGTCTTTCAAGACTTTACCTGTTTCAAAAGTTATGGTAGATGAGTTGGAATTCATGATCTCATTAGCAGCATCGTCGTCTCCACCACCACCATCATCATCATCGTCATCATAGAATATATCATTATCACTTTCCATCGTACCTCCAGAGGCATTTATAGTCAGATTACTCCCGCTTACGCTAGCCCCTGTAAAAACACTTATATAATTATGATCCGAGTTACCCGACGTCGATTGTCCAGAATCACTGCTCCAATTTGAAATTTAAGATTGTATTTAAAACAACTCTACCTGGAGTTTGTGAGTCATTGTTTTTAGAAATTTATTTTAACAACTTGAAGATTCTGTTTGGTGTGGTTTATCTGCCTTACGGTGACATTGATACCTTCGAATCTGAACATTTTCAGCTTCTTTCCACTTACTCCAACGTGATTATTGTTGGTGATTTTAATTATAATTTATTTGACACCTCGAAGTCAGTAATTTTTCGTTCCCTATGTTCAGGTTTGGGGCTCAGTATAATACATAATTGCAAACCAACCCACTTTGATATCTCTCATCGCTCTACATCTCTAATTGATTATATGTTGATTACTGATAGTTTGGAATTGCGATATTCGGATCAATATCAATACCCTGCATTATCCCATCATGCTGTAATATGTGCCTGTTTTGGTTTTAATATAAGTCATGTAAATGAATATATTGAATACCTTAATTATAATGGAATTGATTGGGATGGTGTTATAAGGTTTTTGTCTGATTTTGATACATCTGTAATTTATGCTTCCAGTGATGTGGACTTAATATGCTCTAGTTTATGCTCTCTTTTTCAATCATTATTGCTTTTTGTGCCTGTAGTTAAAAAAAAAAATCAAATTTGATAATGATGTTTGGATGACGTCCAATAAAGTTGTTTTAGCAAAATCTTTAAGAGACTTGGCTTTTCTAGCATACAGGAAAAATAAAACTGCTCTGAATTGGAAGATATTTTGCAAACATCGCAATAAAGCAAAAAGAGTTATTCGTGTTGAAAAAAGGCGATATTTTTCGAAATTATTTAGTAATCTTGATGGACCGGGTATATGGAGAGTGCTTAGGAATGTTGGGTGTCTTGGTGATGATGATCAGTCTTCTAATTTGGATGTTAATGTTATTAATGATTATTTTGTAAACTATGGAGTAGATGATACAAGTTTTTCTATAGAGAATATTCAATTTCCGGATAGTGGGGTGTCATTTCGATGTGTTGATGAATCTGAAGTTTTAATTGCTTTAAATAAAGTGCGATCAAATTCTACTGGGACTGATGGCGTTTCTATTCGGTTCATTAAATTAATATTTCCTTATGTATCTGATTTATTGATTCACTTATTCAACTCCATTTTGTTGACTTCTAAGTTCCCAGCTGGTTGGAAGACGGCTCGTGTCGTTCCGATTCCCAAATCGAAAGTTATCACTGGACCTGAAGATCTTAGACCTATTTCTATACTTCCTGCACTTTCAAAAGTAATGGAACATCTTATTAAGGAACAAATTTTGAGTTTTACAACAATAGAATTCTATCACTCCCAATATGCTTTTCGTCAGGGTTACAATACCACTTCTCTCCTTCTTGATCTAACTGATTCTATCAGAGAAAATATTAATAATGACCATTTTAGCGTACTTGTTTCATTAGACTTGTCGAAGGCTTTTAATTCTATTAATTTTCGGAGGATGATTGACAAACTTAGACTTGAATTTGGATTTTCTATGACGGCTTGTAAACTTATTTTATCCTATCTTCAAGGTAGATCCCAGTATGTAAGACTTAATGGTGTTGATTCGGGTTTAGTTCGAGTTAAATCAGGTGTTCCTCAAGGTTCGGTCCTGGGACCTGTATTGTTTAATATGTACATTAATGATCTGCCTAGCCTCATTAATACGACTATATGCAAAACGTTTTTATATGCAGATGATGTTGCTTTACTGTTTAGCTGCAGTCGTGATTTTAGTGATGTTTTGTGTACTAATATAGATTATTGCCTTCGTTCTATCTCTAGCTGGTCTGTAAGAAACTATTTGTCTATTAACGCTTTGAAGACTAAGGCTATTGTCTTTAATCCAATGGATAGATTTAATGTTAACTTCGATGTTTTTATTGATGGTGTTAAAATTGAGTTTGTGGATCAACTTAAATTCCTAGGATTTATTTTGGATAGTAAACTTAATTTCAGTTCGCATATAGGTTATACTGTTTCAAAGGTTTTGCACACTTTACGGAAAATTTTTTCTATAAATATTCATTATCCTCTTCATATCAGATATAAACTGGCTTATTCTCTTCTTATGTCACAAGTCTTATATGGACTTGAAGTTGTGGCAGGAGCTAATGGCACTGGCTTATCTAGGATAAACCGCATTGTTAATACGATAGTTCGTTTTGTCTACAATGTTGAGCGGAGACATCATATTTCACAATATGTTGAACAATTTTTAAAATGCAGCTTTGAGAATTTTGTAAAACTTCGGTGTATTACTTTTTTTCATACTGTTATTAAAAATGGAAGACCGTTACCCTTGTTTAAAAGATTTACCTTTAGTAGATCAATTAGAAGACCGCAGATTTTAATACCTAGAATTACAAATTCATTTTACGAAAGATCATTTTTGATACGAACTGCTCGGTGTTGGAATTTTTTACCGGCTGAATTGCGTATTTTTTCACACTCTAATAATGTTTTCCGTCTTAAACTGTTAAATTTTTTCACAAATGTTGGATATGTATAATGCTTGTTATATCTTCTGCAAACTTATTAAATTATTATTGGTAAGTAAGATTAACTGTTATTTGTTTCTTGGAAATGTAACTATAATTTTCTTTAACCTTAACTTAACTTTCTGCTTTTTTTTTAACCTCAAATAATGCTTTTTTAACCTTAAAATAATACAAGCAAAAGAAGGTTTTTGTCGCTATTAATTTGGGCCATTATTCTTTTTCTTAAAATTACTGCTTTTATATACTTCTTCTTGTTGCTTTTTGACATTACGGTTGGGGAACCATTAAAATTTTGATAGAATCTGATTAAAATTTATTTATTTTTGTATTGTATATATATATATATATATATATATATATGTACATATATATAATTTTATTTTATTTTAATTATTTATGCTTAGGTGATAATTACTAAGTAATATGTTAGATTGGCCTTAAAGGCTTTGTATTACTTGAATGAATGAATAAATAAATAAATAAATAAAATTGCGTATTATCCGTAGAATAGTTCGGGGACGTATATCACTACTATCATTATCACTTCTTAGCCGACTCGCAGCATAATCATGGTCATTTTCTGTCTCTTCCGTTGACATATTTGTTGTAAGAGTTTTTCTTTAATACTTAATCACTTGTTTAAATGAAAAACAGCATTCTGTAAACAAAATTTTGAGTTTTATATAAATATAACAAACATTTGTAGACATTTGATTTGATTCTTTGACTCTGTTGTATTATTTTGAGAAAGAGGCAGTAGTGCTGTAACATTAAGAACTTGATTACTGATTACTAAATACTATTGGTACCAATTACCTCCAAGATACAAACGTTAAATAAAATGATGAAATACAAATCATTATTTTCAAAAATATAATGCAAATATATGTATATTAATGGAACATTTGTGTATTTATTTATGATCTGTCTAAAAATCTTTATTAATAATTTATTTATATAATATATGTTATATTTTTAATATACATAATTTCAACCCTGTGCCTCGTTTCTGTATTTTTCTCGAATCGAAAAAAAAAATAAAAATATGATGGTCTTCCACTTTTTAACAGGGTTATTCAGTTTATTTTCAAAATGTACGCGTTAAAATTTAACAACAAATATTTAAATTTCTTATGTTCGCCCTGTTTTATACAGGATGATCACAAATTTTCCGACAATTTTTCTCGATGTGAAAAATACAGAAACGGGGTACTGTATATAAGAAAAGTAAGCACAAGACCAAGGTATTTTAATTGTTTTCTTGATCAGTCCATAATTAACCAAAGCTCCCACATAAAGCCCTCTTTCGAAAGTCACCTAATCGTAAATAACTCATGAATTAATAATTATATCGAGTTAAAATTTGACTAGAATGTATTTTGTATATTCAATATGCAAATAAACTTGTAAATGTTTTTTATTATCTATATAATTATAATGAACAACCTATTATTCATTGGGTACATCCAGCTCTGACACCTCTTGGGGACTACCATTTTATACGCTGTAAATGTTGTTTTGATGAACCATAACTATTAAACAATGTAGTAGAAACGAGGAAATATGTATATTTACATTTCTTTAAATAACAAGTAAAATCTTTCATATAAATTAAAAATTATTTATTACATATTTCTAAAAGTTCCCATAAATTTCCCCAAAAAAGTACTTTTTTCGTACAATGTTACCCTTTAAAACTTTAAAAAGCTAAAATAACAAACTTGGGCAACACCGTGACTTTCATAAGTAACGCGAAAATTAAATTGCACTGATTTTTTTGCTAATTAATTTCTATTGAAATTAAAATAATTAAAAACTACCACAAAATTGTAGTATATTTAACTAAAAGTATTTATTAGCAAGTAAATCTAAAATTTAGAAACTGTAAAACCTTAAAAAACAGTAAATATTTAATTTGCAACAGACCGGCTGACGCCATTTACAATTTTTTAACAGATTAAAATAGAAAAGGCGTAACATGTCTGAGACACCAAGTACTCCTGAGAAACTTACTCCTGGTAAGCCACCAGTATATCGCCGTAGCAGTAGTGGCAGTCCAAGCCAAAACTTGCAGCTTCCAAGTCCAATTATAACCAAACGCACAAGAACTGCATCAACGTAAGTAAATCCCTATTAATATGATTGCACCACTATTCCTTTGCTTAACAAACTGCATCTAAACTAGATCTGCCCGTGCTATGGAAAATCCGGTTGTTAGTGGTATTGTCAAATCTTTCAGTCAATCTAAGGGTCATGGCTTTATAACTCCCAAAGCGGGTGGGGACGAAGTATTTTGTCACATATCAGAGTAAGTATACAAATTTACATACAATCATACATACATACATGCATATGCAAAGATATATGTAGATATGTATAAACATTAAAAAATTTGTAAATGATAAACAAATTGCGCCTCAAATTTGTGCATTAATTACCTTAACCATACATATAATTCATTTATCCCTAATTAATTTCCTCACTTATCTGCCTCTGCCTGTTCCGCCCTGCCTGTCCAGCATTGAAGGTGAATATGTCCCTATGGCGGGTGATGAAGTCAGTTATCGCTTATGTGCTATACCACCCAAATTGGAAAAATTCCAAGCTGTGCACGTTAAAATCGTTAATTTAACGCCCGAGGTCCATCACAAATGGGAAGAATAAATTTAAGCAACGTATGTATGTAATTGTTTGATACAAATCAAAACAACAAAAAAGTTGTGTTTTCTTTAAAGAATTCAAAACACTTATTACGAAAATAATGCCTGCCGTTAAAAATTCTAATGTTTAATTAACCAACAACAACAATAATGCCTCGTTTTATTCGCCAGTTGTAAAATATATAAAATTTTAAGAACAATAAAAATAAAGTTTCCTTTTTTTAGCATCTTTGTTATTATCACTATCTTTTGTGTAGTTTTTTTTCTAAGTTAAAATTTTAATCACATTAAATGAACAACGCATCGTAATTGTATTATTTTATTTTAAAATGACTGTTTTATAGAGTTTATTGTAAATATGAGAAGTACTTTGAAAATATAATTTTTAGTCCAGTTACATATAGTCACCTAAAACGCAAAAGGCCCTATCTAACATTTTTAAAAGTTTACAGGAGAAGCAAAAAACTATTAAAATCGAAAAGTTTGTTTCTATCAACGCGATTTATTTGTAGTAAATAAACAAATTGTTTAATAGTAAAACCTATAATTTGTTATCATAGTTGACAGTGGCGTATATAAAAATGGATACATTTTTTACCTTCAATATTCATACGTTTTAGTAGATAGGGTCTTTTGTTTTTTGTCAATATAATCGATAATGTTGGTCATAGGAGTCCAATTTTTTGTGTGGACATTTGTTTCGATGCAATACATAAGAATCAACAATAAAATCGATTTCGAATTTTTGGTTAGTTAGGGCCGTTTGCGTTTCAGGTGACGATATACATGTTTCAGAGTAGCATCTCAATGCTCACACCTAGAACATGACAAGGTTCAAATTTATTCTTCATTTACACTACGTATCATTTGAATATGGAATTTAATTTTATCAACTTCAATCTTGTAAACTTGATATTGAGAATTACAAAATTTTGGATTATTAAATTCCATATTCTTACTATTAATTTACTATTAAAGGAAATTGGTTTTTTCTCTTTACCTACAATAAATTACGGGTTTTTTTATGTATAAGGATGCTAGTGATTTTACTGAAATGAAATTACCAACGTATATGCAGTTAACAGATCCTTGAACAAATCTGTTTGGCAAATAGATAATCATGTTTCCATTGTTGTTTTTATATAAAAAACAATTACCTATTAAAATGAAGATATTGGTTAACACATTCTGAATTATAATAATAACAAACAATTTTCAATTCCACTTAAAAACTTGAGGGTGATTTGTTTCGACCCGGAAATTTTCTCTCTTTTTCTGGAATAACACCTTTTTCTTATTGAGCTTGTATACATACATATGTATGTATATCTTAGAGTTTTTGAAATAAACAATTTTCCGTAATTATTGACCCAACCCCGATTTTCTTTAATCGAATGCCATTTTTTATAAAAATACGATTTTTCCTAAAAATGTATTTCTTCTAAAAAATTCAGTTTTTAACTAAAAATTAAGTTTTGTTTTATTATAAATTCAGTTTTTCACTAAATTTTTTTTTATAAAAAATGTATTTTTTTTTTCTAAAAAAATTATTTTTTTCTAAAATTTTTTGTTTCTAAAAAATTAATTTTTCATTAAAATTTCTTTTTTATTCATTCACAATTTTTTTTTTCAAATTTGCGATTATTTTAATAGAAATGTAATTTTAATAATAATAATAATAATATGATTTAAAATTAAAAAAATCGATGTGTACAACACATTTATGTGTAGTTTCCAGATAACGTGTGAGTACTTTGAGTAAAAATTTTAAATGTATTTTGTTTTTGTAACAATAACAAAATACAAATAAAATTTTAACTCAAAGTGTTCGCATGCTATCTAGAAACAGCACATTAATTTTTCATAAAAAAATTGTTTTACTAAAAATTTCAAATTAACAAAACCTATTTTTTTTCATTGGACTCCCCTTAATATAAAATATGTGCACAGTTGCACATTTAAGTATTGAAAAAAGTACAGTTTTTCAAACAGGTGATTACAAATGTAAATTTTTTTTATTGTTGTTTTCATCACAAATCTGTGGTTTTTTCATTGCTGTCTTTAGAAAAAGAAAAACTATTTAGAACTTTTAAAAATAATCAATTACACTATTATTTTTTAAATATTTATCAAGTTTTTTATATAAATTATTTGTTGTGACGTACAAAAGAAGTAACTAACGCAGAAAAAAAACACAAATACATTGCTGCTTTATTAAAAAACAAGAAAACAGTAAAAACCCTCACCTCAAGTACCTGCTTTAGTAGCTGCACCAACAACCGCAACGTAAATGATTATTGAAGGAGTGACGTGTCGCTTTTGATTTCGTGCCGTTTTGAATTCATTAAGCGAGTTTCCATTTATTGCCAAAGTAATGGATGTTAGACGACGCAAGGAGTCCGATGGGGACAGGCAGAAGCTAGTGCCACCGACCGAGGCATACCATGAGGAACGTCATGAAAAAACAGATATACGCGGTGACAGGGGCAACATAGCAATTCTTCTTTTCCTGTATATTTTACAAGGCATACCGTTGGGTCTGATAGCGGCCATTCCAATGTTGCTGCAGAATCGGGGTGCCAGCTATAAGCAACAAGCTGAATTTTCATTTGCCTACTGGCCCTTCAGTCTTAAGCTGTTGTGGGCACCCATTGTGGACTCGCTTTATGTAAAGAGCTTTGGACGTAGAAAATCTTGGCTTGTGCCCTGTCAGTACTTGATTGGTTTGTTTATGCTATTATTGTCTTTTGTGGTGGATCGTTGGTTGGGAGGTAATGGCCTAGAACCGAATGTACCATTACTTACAACTCTTTTCTTTTTGCTCAATTTTTTGGCCGCCACGCAAGATATTGCTGTGGATGGCTGGGCTTTGACCATGCTTAAGAGATGTAATGTGGGCTATGCCTCTACTTGTAATAGTGTGGGACAAACGGCTGGTTATTTTTTGGGTTATGTGGCTTTTATAGCATTGGAATCGAAAGACTTCTGTAATACCTATTTGCGTACTGTTCCTCGTGATGAAGGTATGGTAACTCTACCAGAATTCTTGTGGTTTTGGGGAATATGTTTTCTAGTAGCCACCACGCTTGTGGCCATATTTAAAAAGGAAAATGATATAAAAGACGATCATGCGGAATCGAGATACAACGAGGAACATGAGCTGAATATTTATGAAAGTTATAAAATTCTTATTGACATGGTGCGCATGCGTCCCATACAAATACTGGCTGGCATTTTATTGACTGTGAAAGTAACTTTTGCTGCCTGCGATGCAGTCACATCACTCAAACTAATAGATGCAGGGGTACCCAAAGAGAAGCTGGCTTTGTTGGTGGTACCCATAATTCCCTTACAAATTATATTGCCTCTAGTGGTGAGTCGTTATACAAACGGCCCGCGTCCCATGGAAGTTTATGTCAAAGCCATTCCTTACCGTATCTTTTTCGCGTCATTGGCGGCTGTTATTGCCTATTTAACACCCTATATTATAGCTGGTGGCGAAGTGCCAGTTTACTATTACGTCCTGCTTGTTGTCAATTACGGTATATATCAAATCTTCCTGTATTGTATGTTTGTAGCTGTGATGGCATTTTTCGCCAAGATATCAGACCCTGCCGTAGGAGGCACTTACATGACATTCTTGAATACACTTTCAAATCTTGGCGGTAACTGGGCAAACACTGTAATATTGTGGCTGGTTGATGTGCTAACTTGGAAGGCCTGTATCAGACCAGACGAAACTGTTGTCGAAGACAATATTTGTCTTACAAAAACACAAAAGGAGGTAAATTGAATAAAAATATATTTTGACGTTATGAAATCTATACAATTTTTTTTTTGTATTTCTATAGGAATGTACCGCTGCTGGTGCCGAGTGTAGAATAGTATTTGATGGCTTTTATATTGAATCAATAGTGTGTTTGGTTTATGGTGTTATCTGGTTGATTTGCGTACGTAAATGGATAAATTACTTGCAGAATTTACCCACTAGAGATTGGCTGGTGGTAAGCCCTAAAAATTCCCCTGCTGCCAAGTCAAGGTAGCAATTCATTGTATGACATCAAGAGGCTACCAACTGAATGTTAGAAATGTTAAATAATTAGTTAATTATTCCATAGTATCCTATTGACTACAACACAAATTTTAGTTCATTTGTTTTTTTAAATTACGTTTTTGCTTTGGAAACGTACCTGTATAGTACGAATATTTAAAACATGCCAATCCTGATGCCACAGGACATATTATATCAGTCAGTATATATAAACATCCTAAGGTGTGTTTGTATATAATTAATATAAGCTTGACCTTCTTTTCCATAGTAATTACATTATTTAGGTTATCGTCTTATTTATTAGTTATTTTTAATATAAATTATGAAAATTGTATGTAATCAGGTTCCGAATAAAATAAAGAAAATAAATAGACATTGATTTGTTTTCAGCCTAGAATATGTGGAAGATGTTATTTTATTCACAAGGCCTTTTGCAATGTACTGGCATTGCATTTTGGGTACGATATAAAGTTTTTATACAATAAAAAATGTTTTTCTTATTATTTTTGTTTTAATAATTTTGGAATTTTATAAGAATTCGTATATAAAAATATTCTGATGAAGTATAGTATGTGCTGTCTAGTAATACTTCCATGAATCGGCGGACTCTTGATTTTGTTTTTGCTTACTTTTACGTTCAATTAAACCGGCTAAATGTTCCGATCGCATAGATAGCGAATCGATTTTCTCCACCAACTGTTGGTAAGGACTCAAAGGTTGGGTGCCCATAACAACATGACCCAATTTGGAATCAATCTTGGCATTAAGACGAGCATTGCGGATTAGATTGACGATCCAGCATTCGGCTTCGGCGGGATTCATGTTCAATTTGTCAGCCAACATGCTGATGGTGATGCACTGGTGAATACGACAGAAAGTTTCGAAAATCATGAGACGAGCATCTTCAACAAATTCGTTCAGACAAGCCACAATAAAGAAGTCATTGAGAATGACTGTTTGACATTCGTGGAGTTTTAAACGCGCACCCTCGAAATCGAAGTTCACATACAAACATTCAAGGAATTCAGTAATGGGATCACGGTAAGTGTAGGACTCCTGTTGGATGACCTTAATAAGTTCCTTGAGAGCATTGCGACGAGTGCGATTGATGATGACAGCGACGGCCAAGTAACGCATAATGTGAGGACACATAGTTTGAATGGCATTCAAGTAAGAGGGTTTGTTCAAGAAAGTCTCAATGATTAAATCGCGTCCTTTGGGGTGATTGAAGAACACTAATACAGACCAGTGGATGAGCCATGTACGTTGTTGCAAGGCCTGCACGGTGGAGAAGTTGGCATTGTCGATGTAATCACGCAAGCGTGTCAAATCTTCTAAAGCTGTATTCCAGTTCAAGGTTAAGATCTCAGCAGCCAATTTTCCCCACAAGACATTCAAGTAGTTCTACAAAATAATAAATAGTTAATGAAATAATTTAGCACTGTACAAACTCGTTCTTTACCTTATCATTGGGAGACATAACAATCAAGCAGAAATACAAATAGGAGGTGGATTCCTGGTAATTACCGCACTCATACAAGTACTTGGCCAATTTGTAAGCACTCTCCAAATGTTCCACCTTAAAGTTATAGTCCTTTTGCAAAGCATTGACGAAAGTTTTGGAATCTTTCATGCTTTCACCATTTTTCAATATGTCTGTGGCTTTCATAATGGGAGCTACTTCATTTTGCAACTGTTTCAAGGTGGCCAAGACTTCAGCCTTACGTTGCACCAACTCCTCGGGCATTTCTTGGCTTAAGCCCAAACGCTTGCGGGTATCCATGGTGTAATCAATCATGTTGGTTTTGTTAACTGTCTCCAAAATATACTCCAACAACTCTTTTTGATCGTAAATCTAAAAATAAAATCATCTTTTATTAGTCATTTCGCTCCGTTATTGTTCCTCAGCACAGTTTGTGTCAAAACAAAATGCTGCTTGTCTCGACGTCCGTCGATGCCCGAAAACTAACCTCTTTGCCACACAAGAATTCCAAAAGGGGGAAAGTCAAATGCCTGTCCAAAAACTGGCAATTAGTTCTAGTTAAATCGAATTGCGCCATATCGTATGTATCTTTGCACTACTTTTAAATCAATTTATTATGCTTTTGAAATAATTATTTTAATAAAAATAACGTGCTGGCACGAATTTACACAAAAATTCACAAACGTCGCTAAATTAGCGAACAGAGAAAAAGACAGTATATCGGAGCCCTGCGCCGATAAATATTAACGGCGGCGGCTGACACTACAAAATGTCGGTGGCGGCTTAAAACCGCTGTAAGCCAGCTATGTTTTCAACTACGTTTAGTTTTTAAATTTTAAACGATTTTAAATAAAAACGGAGTCCGCGAGATTAAAAAATGGGATTTTGTAGGCAAATATTTTAAAATCGGGATTGTCTACCAGAGTATGAAATTTTTGTATTCCTGAATACTATTTTATATATTTCTCTCGTTATACAACATATTTTCACGAGATTTATTTTTAAACTCACGAGAATTATTTTTATTTCAACTTTTTATACCCTTCACCTTGGTGAGAATTCATTCGACTACAACGAAAGCTTTAATAGTTGTGAATGATGAAATTAAAACTCAGTTAAAGAACAAAACAAGTAAGAAAGTATAGTAGGGCATGAGCGACCATATTATACCCTACACCATTTATGAATATTAAATGTGATTTATTTCTCATAGTAAAGCAATTATCTTCAATATTACCTTGTTCCGATACATTTAAGCAATTTATGGGTGAAAAACTAATTTTCTGAAAGAGGCTTTATAGGGGGGGCTAAGGGCAAATATGGACCAAGCCCGATAAAGTTTTGTGAATATATTTATATAATATTTATTTGTGCTGAATTTCATAGCGATATTTGTGTTTATAAGTTAATTTTGGACATTGAAGTAATTTTCGGAAGTGGACTTTGTATGGGAACTAGGGTCAAATGACGCCCGATCTTTATGAAATTTGACAAGGTCATCAAAGATTGTATAAAACTTAGTTGTGCAGCTTTTCAGAAACCCTTTTCGGGGGGTTCTGTGTAGGGTATAAAAAGTACCAAAAAATTCCACATTCTTAATTATTCTGTCTAGATTTTTGAACACATCAGATTTGGCGCGAACAAATTCTAGCAGCGTAAACACGGATATATCTGAGAGCTTGAATGTTGAGCAAAGCTTTACACCGACCAAATTTCAATGAGCAACTTTATAATTAGATAAAAGAAAACTTGCTTAACAAATTAATTTAATATTGTAAAATTCCATAAATTCAGCGAAAGTTTTCTGTAAGTTATACAATATATGGCGAAATTTTCAAGTCGTATTAAGCTGAAAAATTTTCGGCGGCTGCGGTTTTGACGTTTTGTTCGGCGGCTAGGATTAGTCGTCTTTAAGACGAATCGGCGCGGGTCTCTGCAGTATAATAGAGTTGAGAAACTATTGAGTATTTGGTTACTTAATACGCTATCTACTTATGGGCGAGTACTCGATGTCAAAAATGCTAAGTAAAAAATGTACAATAAAATGTAGTTTATTGAATGTTTAGTAATTAAATATTGTGTTTATTGGGGTATTTATTGTTAAAAGTTTTAAACAGAAAGTTAGATGAATTTATCCTTAAATATATAATAATAATAATTTGATTGATTTTAGCGATTTTAATATATTTCAATGTGGAAAAGTTAACAGCATTGATTATTGCCAATCAAATATTAGTGTTAATAATTTAGCGATTTTTTATAAATTTATAATGATTTTTTAGAATATTCATCAGTTTTCGAAATTACTGCCCTATAAGAAATGAATGACCGAAACTAACACATACAAAATGATTTTACTAACACACACGCAACATTTTTTTATAGAATTGTCGAAAAAAAAAATTTTAATGGATGATTCCATCAACAATGACAGTCAAATGACCGGTAAAATGACCGTTACTGGACCCAATGTGTGGTATAGGGTTGAATTTGCATATGAAAGAATGAAACAACTACATTTTGATTAAAATGTATTAAAATTTATATTTTGATCAACAATGACAGCCAAATGACCGATCAAATGACTGTCACTGTGTTACAGAGTTGTATTTTTCGTCGTTACAAATTAATTGTTTCTGCGAAAGCTAAAGATCAAGAAGCAAAAAAATAAAAAAATTACAAAGTCTTTAAATTATTAAAAATAAAGAGAATTATTATAAACTAAATTTTAAAAAAGTTCAGGAAGTGGATCAGAAGATAAACAATTCGGAGTTTAATTAATCAATGGTAACATAAATATGTACTTATGATTTTTATATTTCGATATTTATGAATACTTATGTATTTCTTTACAGACAACTTATTTCTACAAATTAATAGGAGCATCAGAGGACTTAAGATTCTGCGAAATATGTAAAATGGTGAAGAGACTGGTAATTTATGTATATGATTACTATATTAATAAAATTAACAAAATATATATATTAAAATATCAATAAATTGTGTTTTATTATAAATTGGTATAGCCGTCAGATTTGACGGATATATTCATCAAGTGTGATTAGTCAACAATGACCGATTAATGCATCATTTTTTTATTTGTTAATTGTGATGGATATATCCATCAAGCATGATTAGTCAATCATGTCTAATATTTATATCATCCATGATTAGTAAACAACAAAAGAGTGAGCAGCTCAAATATATGTTTTAAAGTCGATAGAATTCATAAGCGCGAGGGTGATGCAACATCACATGTACACAAATGTTTCCATCACTTTTTACATATTGCCCTTAAGAAAGTGATGGGAGCTTTGTTCTACGCAATGATGGGTATATTCTCAGTAGTGACAGTCAATTGACCGGTCAAATGACTGTCACTGTTCTTATAGGGTGAATTATTGTGCTAGGGTGGCTCTGTTATTATGGACAAAAAATAAGGGACTGATTATTTCTCCGAAAATGAAAACTTGGTTCATTCTATGATATTGTTTCTCCTTTGGATCAAGTAATAAAAAAATAATAAAAACCATAACACTTAACTTCAGTTTCAAACAAATAGCATTGATCCCAGAATAGAATAAATATCGTCCACCTCACAACATTACTAAACGAAGTTGAACCAAAATAGTTTTGGTACTAACCAGCCATGGAAAATTTAAATTCTAATTTATAACTAAAATAGTATTTTCTAAGTTTAAAGGTAATAAACTAATTCCGCTAGACTATAAACTAGAATGTAGGCTATACTATAGACTAGGCTATTAACTGGACTATAGACTAGACAATAGACTAGATTATATACCATGTACTAGACTTTAAACTGAAATATAGACTAGATTATAGTCTATAGGTTTGTCTATAGACTAGACTATAAACTAAACTATAGTCTAAACTATAGACTAGACTATATACAAGACTATAGACTAAACTATAGACCAGATTATATACTATGTACTAAACTATATACTAGAGTATAAACTGGACTATATGCTAGATTATTGACTTTACTGCAGGCTTGTCTATAGACTGGACTATGGACTAGACAATAGACTAGACTATAGACTAGACTATATACTAGACTATAGACTATACTACAGGCTTGTCTATAGACTGGATTATGGACTATACAATAGACTAGCCTATATACTAGACTATGAACTAGACTATAGAATAGTCTATAGAGTAGACTATAAACTAGACTATAGACTGGTCTATAGACTAAAAAATAGACTAGACTAAAGACTAGTCTATAGGCTATACTATATACTAGATAATAGACTACTCTATAGCCTACAGACTGGTCTATTGACTACTTTTCAAAAGTTTATAAATTAGAAAAAGTAAATGGCGTTGGGGTACAGCGTTAGCAAAAAGTACTAAAGTACTGAATTTTCCATGCCTGGTACTCATTTAATTTAATTTTTAATTTAATAATTATTAACATTTTAAAATGTTTTTCCAAAATTCGAACTTAAAAAACTTGTTAGGTTAGGTTAAAAAACTTGTTAGGAAAAAATGTTTTTAAAATAAACAAATTTTTAATATAATATATATTTATTTTTATTTATAACAAAATACATGTTTAATTGTTCTTACAGGGAAATATGTATGTGTGTGTGTGTTAAATTGTCTATTACTAAACCTTAAGTAATAAAAACTAAATTATATTAAATTGTTTTTATTTCATTTTTTTCTTTCTTTTTTTTTTTTATTTCTTCCACTACAGAGTTGAGAATAGCTCAAGTTAAATATAACCTAACAAATGTATTAACTAATTACCTATAGTTTAAGATTTGCTATAACAGTTTTATGAAAAATTAATAAAATAAAAATAAAAAGTATTTAAATAAAAGAAATTGTTACCTTAACGATTGCTTTTATATATATTACAAAACTTGTTCAGCTGAAGCTGATCTATGTATGTATGTATACAAATGTTAATAAAAGACTTGCGATTTTCTTTCTTTCTTTCTTTTTTTGTTGTAGTTTACAGTAGAAGGAGGAACGTAATGTGTTAAAAGTTTGTTTATCTTTGGATTAAGGATGTATACAAACAACATTAAGTATGAGTTTATTTATACTATAAATTTAACGTTCCCTTAAGAGGCAAGCCTATTTACAAATATGTATGTATGTATGTATGTTTGTAGGGTTTGTAAGTTATGTATTGAATATTTATTTGTTATTCAAAGATTTTGTTAAAGTTATTTTATGTTTTGTTTTGTTTTTGTTTTTCTTCTTCTTAAATTAGCTACTTATAAATGTTGGTTATTGGTTCTTAAATTCATTATATCTTAAAATTTGGTTTATTTTTATTATTATTATTATAATTATTATTTATGTATTTTTTTTGTAAATATGTATGATGTTCTTTTTTTATCATTTTGATTTTATTTAATTACAAGTGTCATTAGAATTTGTTGTTGTTGTTTTTTTTTTTTAAATTTTGCATTTGTCTTGGGAGTTAAGGCATCTTTTTCAAAGGCATCTGATCTGTATTATATATTTCAAGTATAATTAAATGATTTTATACAAATATCCAACCACTGTTATGGTTATTTAAAACAAAATTGTTAAACGGGAATCTTGCGGATATGTTTATGTACGTTTGTGCTTAAATAAATTTAATTTATTTTTACAGTGGTTCAGTTTTTATACAAAATGTAATGAATGCTGTGTGTGGGTTTTAAACTTAAAACTTCAAAGGGTTTCAATTTAAAGTTTTAACAAAGATTTATACTATTTTATTTTATATTTTTTTACAGAGCCAATGTAATGAAAATTTAAAAATAAAATGAAAATTTAACTTTTGAACTTGTTTTTTTTTTTTTGGAAACAATAACTAATTAACCAAAAGAAAAAAATTGTTTTTAGAAAAATAATTTTTTTTGTAATGCTTGGCATACACAGTACAACATTGTTTATATTTTATTATAAATTAAATATTTTTATTTTATTATTTTAGTATTTTGTTAACGAAACATTAACGATGCCAGAGATAAAGTGTGTTTTTAAATAAAAATGCACATTGTTCGTAGAAAATTACGAAACAAAATTCAAATTTATAAAATACTTAAAAGCTAAAAAACTAATACTAAAGAAAAATAATAAACAAAAAAATTGTCAAAAATAATTAATGATGCAGGTGTGTGTTTGGGAAATATTTCCTTTTCATTCTTTTTTCTTTTTTTTGGTGTAATGAGGCATTATATATGTTATAATTATGGTAAAATCAACGCTGTTTCTTTTGGATGGTAGTGAATAACTTATGGTTAATACAAATTACCCAAATCCTATATATATATTTTAAAATATAATTCTATATATAATTTAAAATACACAGGTTTGCTTAATAATTACAATTTTGTTCTAATGAAATTTTGCTAACTAAATATCAAGTTCAAGTTAAAAAAATACATTTTTCTTTTCTTTTATTTTCCATTGACAACCAAGTATTAGGATGTAATTAAAAAGTTCCAAACCGTAGTTCTTAAATAAATAAACTACATCATGTCATGTAAATTGGTAACTTAAAAAAAAACTTGTTTAATAGGATATGTTACTGAATGGGGGTTTGGTTTTAAAATAGAAAATTAAACAAATCTTTAAATAAACTTATTCAATTCAAAGTATATATTTTGAAATTTCTATAACTTAATAAAAAATAAGAAATGTGTGTTGCATTCATTCAAATTGTATTTTAAAACTTTTAAGTTTAATTGGTCCAGTGATTAAGAAAGTGGTATTCGTCTAACAATCTTTTTAAAAGCATATATTTTAAAAAATAGTACCTTTTAAAAAAGTACCATTTTCAAAGACGTAGCTTTTTTAACTAGTATTTCCTCAAAAGCACTTTATAGAAATAGTACTATTCTCAATAATTAAGTACTTTGTGCATTACAATGTAAACTTCAAAATATTTTCAAAGTGAATAGTTTATGACATCTTGCAGCACATTTTTATAATGGGTCAGAAATATTTTATTCTATAGCGATACAAAATAACAACACCCTATTTTAATAACCTGATATTTGCTTTTCAGCGTCATAGTTTTAAAAACTCTAACCGATTGGTTGCTGGCTATTTTAATTCTTCATCACAAGTATCGTATATTCTGCTCGCTTAAAATCACTGGCGCACATTTCGTCTCTACTTGGTCTTGGTTATAAAAAAAAATTATGATATTTATTGCATGTTTGGTTTTTTTAAAATATAAATTATTTCTCTTTTTTTTTTAATGCACACTTGTTAAAAGAACTTGAACATATCTACTAGTTGCCAAAACAATAATATAAAAGAAAATAAAAATAATAATAACAAATTTAATTAACAATTATGGGAAAACAAACCATCAGTTAGTTAGTTGAAAAAAATAATAATAAAAAAAACTAATTAAAAATACACATTCAGCAGAGAACCGTCAGTTGTAAGAGAAATTTAAATTGAAACTACAAACAGCCAAATGTAAGTAGGACTGTCCGGATACTTTATGAAATATATATTATACAGCAATCATTCAAAAACATAACGGGCCCTTTGGGCACGAGCTAAACGACTGGGTTGTTTACGACATGCTACTGAAACCTCCTTGGTTGTTGCTGTTACTTGTGGCATGGGCGGCGTTGTTATTTGCTGTTTTCTTGTTGAAGTTTTATTTTTATTAGATTTAATTTCCTCACTATTATCATCCAGTGTTCGATTATAGACTCTTCGATCAAAGTTGAAATATTTTAAAGACATTTGGGTACTGTGCAGTATCGTACAGAACATACGCCAACTACTCTTGGTTTTCAAAGCCAAACGTTTGCGTTCCTGTTCATCGAAACCAGAAAACTCTTCAGGCATCCATACATCGGGTACACACTCTTTATTGATAATTGCACTTCGGGTTTTACGTTGGGTTGATGATCTTGGAGGAGATCTATTTTTGTTATTGGCTAGTAAGGGTTTAGTGATTTTGTTAAGACTTGTTTCTCTGCGCATTGAACGCCGCGTTACTGGCGGTGGCGCACTTGTGACATTTTGTTTAGTTTGTCTGCTACGTGTCACACTTGTTCGGCCGATAATTTGTCTGACGTTGTCGAAAATAATAAATTTACTTACGTCTAGTAGCCAACTTGTTATGGGTGGCATATTTTCATCGAAGCCTTGGAAATCACCCAAATCCGGTAGACTTTCAGGAGGACAGCTATTTATAGCAATTAGGGGCATCTCAGCTATATGTTCATCACGTATCTCTGCCAAAGAAACTTCATCAGTTTCCATTGCTGTTAAGCTATTTTCATCAGAGGATTTGCTTTGGCCTAAACCACTTGTAACATCACCTTCTGATTGCAAACTTTGTTGTCTTAAGTCAACTACTTCGAGATCTTCAAGTATGTGCTTCTCCTCTTTCTCCTCTTCAGCTCTAGAACAGGTTTCGATAGCGACCTCTTCCTCCTGTTTCTCTTCCTTAATGTGGGATTCCGTTATATCCGTTCTTGAGTTACGAATGTCGTCTGTATTATAAAGATCACTTTCGTAACTTTCAGTTGCTATCGGTAGCAACGCCTTTTGTTTAAAGGTTACATCGAACCAAGGATGTTGTAGTATTTGATGAAGTGTTAAACGTTTTTTTACATCTTTTTCCATACAGCCTTGTAATAAATGTTTTAATTCTTCCGAGGCCTGTTGCCAACGCTCAGACTCAGTGTACATGGCCTCATTTAGAATACGTTGCTTTAGCATTTCGTAGCTTACCTGGCGATCCCCTCGGCCCTGCCGAAAGGGAGAATGACCCATATACATGGTAAACAAAGTAGCACCTAAACACCAAATATCCAAAGACTCTGTATAAGTGGCATAATCGGGGTTTTGTAGCATTTCTGGCGGAGCATAATCAATTGTAAAGCGAGGCTTATCATGCCAGCTCTTAACATTGCCATGATAACTAAAAGCATAAAATAATTGAAATATAAAAGTAACTTAGAATATTATGAAGCTTTTACCATGCTGCTCCAAAATCAACCAGTTTTATCATATCGTCTACGGTAAGTATAATGTTTTCTGGTTTAACATCTCCATGTATGAATTTCTTCTCATGAATATGGTGTACAGCTTGCACCAATTTATTAAATATGTCACTGCACAACAGCTCATCAATTCCACATTCGGATTGCATTATTTGATCAGAAAGTTCACAACCTTCTACGAATTCCTGAATAATCCAAATGTCTGAATCTTTGCGATAAACAGCATAGAATTGTGCAATTGAGGGGTGTTCATCTTGAGCGCAAGCAATTAGCGCATCAACTTCAGCCGGGCGATAATTAGTTTCGGGTATAACTTTGATAGCAAAAATTCTGTCATCCATTTCATCCACGCCCAAATAACAATTACCAAATGCACCATTACCGCATAATTGTTTCAGTTGTATATTATCAGGAGCAGGAGTTGGTGACTGTGTTAAAAAGAGCTGTAAATAACCATTTGTTTGCATAATAGTTTTAATAAAACTTACCAAAATTGGTTCACTACAATATTCCTCATAGAACTCGGGAATTCCTTCTCTTTCCAAAAGCTTTTTACGATGTTGTGGTGCCACATAAGAATAACCACGAAATAGTCTATGAGTATTTACAGGCACTGGAGCCGGCGAATCTATAACTGGCTGTTTAGTGAATTCTTCACTAAAGTTTTGAGTATCGTCTTCGCTGTCCAATGTCGGCTTAAATGGTGCTTTTCGGCGTTTACTTTTCAACTCATTCCAATTAATGCCGCGGAAAAACGGATGATTTTTGATTTCTGCTGCATTGCGGCTGTTGCCACCTAAACGTTTTTTCGGATCTTTATGCAACATTTTCAATATAAAATCTTTAACGTTTTCCCCTAGTGTGGGAGGCAGAACAGGATCTACTTTTTGTATACGACGCGATATGTCGCTCTGAGAATTCTGCTGCTCCACAACAGTAAATGGCGAAGCACCCGTTAAAAGTTCATATGTTAGTACACCCACCGACCACCAGTCTACCGCTAAATCATGACCATTTGGCCCAGCTCTAATAATCTCGGGGGCCATATACTCAAGAGTACCACAAAAACTATGGGCTCGATGATCCGAGTCAGGTGCAAAGATTTTCGAAAGACCAAAATCGGCCAGAACAATATGGCCTTGACCATCCAGTAGTATATTTTCTAATTTTATATCGCGATAGATAATGCCAAGTTTATGTAAATGTTCAAGTGCTAACACGACCTCTGCGATATAAACACGAACAGTGGATTCAGAAAAATGCTCTGCTTTATATAGATGTGTAAAGAGCTCACCACCACTAACATAATCTGTAAGTTGAGTTATTTCATTAGTTTACAAGTTTATTGGGAATTGTGAATGAAAAGTAGAGTTCACTTACCTAAAACTAAATATAGCTTTGAATCCGTTTGAAATGCATAATGTAATCCAACAAGAAATGGACTTTGCTGTATAGCCTCAAGTACCTAGGAAACAAAAGATTGTAAAAATTAATCTCGGTTTTTAGGTGTTTCAATCTATCTAGATTTAATTCCAAGCTAGATTTTTAGCGCTATTTGTTTTATAACCTTAACTCACCTGTCTTTCTGTGGTTGTATGTTCGGCAGTCTTTTTCTTTTGAACTACGGTGTCTTTTTTCAAAACTTTCATAGCATATAATTGGTCATTATCATCACCACCATTCTTACGTACAAGAAAAACTTTACCATAAGCTGTAAATTTATGCCATTATGTAAAAAAATTTTCTCATCATTTACTTGCTGGTTACTTACCTCCTGTGCCCAAAACTCGTATAAGTTCGAAATGCGATAAGTTAACTTTTTCGTCATCACCCACAATGCCTAGTTGTTAATTAATTAAAATTTAAAGAAAAATAATTGCAAAATTTCCCAGAAAACTTAATTATTTTTTGTAATACACTTACAACTTGTATGAACTTGTGTGACATCTTCTATTTCACGCTGTAAACGTTCGAGATCGGCATTGGGATTACTATTTGACTCATTATCAGTAGTTGTGTCCTTTTGTTTAACTTCCTTATTGCTGCTAGTAGTATGGTTGTTGTTATTATTGTTATATGTTTGTAACTTTGAGCTGGATGCCTGTTGTTCGTGGAAATTTTGTATAGAATGATTGCTATTGCTGCTGCTACCACTGACTACATATGTCGGTACACATTTTATGGAGCTACTGGCTCTACCGTTTTTAATTTTTGCCTTTGTTTTGCTAACTAAAGAAGTAGCTGCCTTAGCTTCCTCTTCGCTATCGCTGTCAGGAACTTCAACAATTTCATTCATATCAACTGTGGTTGTATTCTTTACTAAATCATTTGCATGATGATTCTTTTCCATAGATATTCCATAGTTATTATTGTTGTTATTATTATGGGAGTAGTCATTGTAATTTGTAGCATTTAGACACAATTTGGGATTTATACCAGCAACATTCTTTAGTTTTGCTTCTTTGTTTATGTTGCTTGTTGTATTATTGTTATTGTTGCTTTTAATAGGATTACTTTTTTTCGAGCAAAGATTCTGTGTGTGATATGTTGTTGTCGTCGCCGTTTTATTAACTGTACCATTGCTGTTAACTTCAGGAACGTTACGACCCTTTTTAGTCATACCAAGACCACCATATGACGCTGTTGATGAGGATGTATTTTTCTTTTTGTTGCCAGTCATATTTGAATGCGTCACTTGAGATTTATACTTTTTATCACTGCCATATAAAGCTTCATTGGACAATTGTCTTGGACGTTTTCCTGTGCCTCCGCTATTCGCATTATAGTTATAACAATCTTCTGGTACATCTTCATAATAACCACTTTCGTGTTCCATTTGGCGGCGGGTGGACATTTTTCCGTAAGTTCCGCCGCCAACGTTACTGGCTAAAGCAGAATTTTTATTTTTGTTTTGATACCGATTCATTGCATTCAGCAAATTAGACACTTAGTAAAGTTAGAATTTGCGTTTTCTTCCAATTACCCTCTTAGAACAAGGTAAGTCAAAATATTTGTTTTAAAAGTAAAGAATTTTAACGTAATTTTCTACGTTTTTAAATTGGAAATTGTTTGATACTTGGTGACCAAGTTGTGGAGAATGAATCTGGAATTATTTAAAATGTTTTACAAAGATGATAAAAGTTGTTGGGAAGAAACTAAATAAAATAAAAATATAATTTTGTAAACAAAATAATATTCATGTGGATTTTAAAGAAATAAGTTTTAGAATATCAAGAGAAAAGGATGGAATTACGTCTGTTTGTGAAACCATGGCTTTGGAAGAAAACGCGTTTTGTAATATTGTCAATAGGAAAATCGCCTACAGTGTCATATTCACCACCTGTTTACTGCATCCCATCGTAGATAACATCACTACATTCTAATACTGCGATGAGGTTATGCTACATTTTTATAGATTCCTTTGTGACCCTCCCCCCACATATTTTCTAATCAGCATGTGAAAACTATCCTCATAATACCCCCCACAAACTACTACACTGAACCTTTGGACTCATTTAGAAGAAACAGCAGAACATCACGGTCATAACTTCCAAAGCCGAATTACATGTACATAGTATATACTGGTTTAACCTCCCCGCCAAAATCTGACATTACTAATATGTATTTAAGGGAAAATTCTCAATCTTTATTAATTTTTGCTTTACACTGAATCAGCCAATAACTCATTCTTTCAACTAATAAATGAAATTTATAATAATGATACGAAAGTTGAAAAAGTGAAAGTTTTTATATACACATCTTTTAGTTCTCGTAAGTATAAGCAAAATAAACATGAAACGATGATGTTGTACTTTAAAGAAATAAGCATTTCCAAAAAAAAATCATAAAAAAGTTGTAACCAAGTGTGGAATTAATATAATAAAGGCACGTACACACATATACATGGAAAATTTGTTCTAAATAAAAACAAAGAACTTGAGGGAGTTTTACCAGCAATAATTTTCAAAACTTACCTTTTTGTTAAAAGGATTTATTTTAGGATCTGTTAACTATATGTATATTTTCTTGGTGTTCAGTTCACCAACACCAGAAAACATTTGCAATGAAATTTTTTTATCTTATTTATATACACCACACCACATAAAGATTAGTATAGTAGGTATACAAAATGGACTGACAGACTGGCTACAAGGTGAAACCCGCATACATATGTCAGTCAGTCACAAGAGAGTGTTTTCACAAATAAAAAAGATGTTAAACAATTTACAAAAATATTGTTGTTTTGATTATATGTAATTCACTTATTTTTGGTAATTTTTAAATTATTTTTGATAGTTTTTGTGTTTCCTTTCTGATAATATAACACGCGTTTTCATTTTGTTCATAATATTTTCCGATTCCCCCTGCTGTTGCTGCTGCTGCTGATCTGTTGTCGTGTCAAATAAACAGCTCACACATAAACACACGCACACACATACTTCTACTCATTCAATAACTCACACACAAATGCAATATTTATTTGACTTTTCGAAAGTTTGCTTTGGTAATCATATTCGTATGTAATGACAGCTAGAGCTACATTTAATAATGCAATGCACTACAAAGAATTATTTTCTTTCCTTTATTTTTTCTCTATATACACTATATTACTGCATTCGTAGTATTTTGTGGGTTAATAAGATGAGTTAAATTGAATACTGACTAAATATATAGTGGTGTTTACCATGGATTTATTTTTGTATTTTTATTTCTATTCTGCTGCGTCCAATAATAAAATTTCTATTTATTCAAGTTCCTTTCATATATACATTTTCACAATTTAAAAAAAAGAACACATTGTTAACAAATAATAGTAATTGCTTTTGCAGGAATTTCATTCTTACAATAATTCAAATTGTGCTTTTTTCCATTGAATAGCTGTTATTATTACCACTAATTTATATTGTTTGTTGTTTTTTTCTATTAAATAATAGTATTTTAAATAGTTTTGTAATATTTTCACTCAATTTAAAGACGACGGCCACGAATTATTATACTTCCCGACTGCGTAGATATTTTTAAAATGCCAAAATGGACGATTATTAGTTGACTTGGTTGCCAGATTTATGAAATTAAAATCGTCGAAACTTCATAAATAAAACCTTTGAGAAGATTCTAAAAAATCACAAACATATTTGTATTTTATTTAATTTTAAACATTCATGTGAAGTGGGTACATATTTCATTCAATTGCAAAATTACATAAATTTTTTATAAAAAATAATCAGCTATTATTTCGTAAACTATTTTAGCGGTTTTGTTTTTAAATTTAACCATATGTGTTAATTTGTAAGTATGGCAGCATTATAGTTTCGAATGACTGATAAAAACATCAATGCCTGTCTATTTATAAACGGCGTTAAAAAACATTTTTTCAAGACAAATTATTGAAGAATGACAGCAGGTGCAAGTTAATTAATTTTCAGAGTTTGGGAAAATTGAATGGTGATATGAAATTTCATATGCCACAAAGTATATACCCTGTGCTTATGTTGTCATCTTACTAAATAAGTCTTGGATGTATTCATAGAGATTTATTTATTTAAATCCGCCTTGATCTACAAAAATCATAAATTTTTGTTTACATACATAATATGTATATGTATGTACATGTGTATATAATACATAATTGAGTAATAATAATAGATTTGCATCAATTAATACATTTGCATAATATCTCTTAGATCCTTCCGCTGCAAATCGGGAATCTTACAATCATCTGCCGGGTAACCGACTGGCAAAAGAACAAGTAATTTTTCATTAGCGGGACGATTCAAAAGATCTCGTAGAAAAGGACCACAATTTAAAGGTGTGGTGACAAGTGAACTTAAACCAGCTGCCTGTAGGGCACACAGTAAAATACCCGTTGCAATAGACACAGAAATTTCATTATAATAATGTTGTTTACGTTTGCCAGACTTGGTGAAACCGTAAATCTGTTTAAATATCAATATAAGATAAGGAGCATCCGTTAAATAAGGTTTGATATGATCTGTTTTCAATGGTCGTAAATCCGTTGTCCACTGACGACTCATTCGTTGCTTATAATTCAATTCCTCTTCGAATTCAATTATTTCACGTATACGTTGTTTTAATTCACTATTACTAACAACACAAAATGTCCAGGGTTCGGTGTGAGCACCACTTGGTGAAGTGCCTGCAGCTTGTATACAGGTTTTTATTACATTTATGGATGGAATGGGATGTGATTTGAATGATCGTACACTGCGTCGATTATGTACCATTTCATAAAATTGTTGAGCACCACCAGGTAGTTTTATTGTAGCACCTTCATATGGAATATGCTCATTTTCTTCCAATGCAGGAGTATATTCATCATTTTCCTCATCATCATTATTAAGTTTATTGGCTGTAATAACAAAATTAGCATAAAAGTTTAATAAATATGGATATTAAGTTATATTTTTAGATATCCTAACTACATACCTATTACAGTATTATCATCCAATGTTTTTCCAAGTGGCAAAATATTATGTAGTTTATATTTATAGAACCAGTTTAAAGCAATTATTATTATAATAGACATAAATATCCATTGGCTATATTGAAGTATTATAGATTTTTGATATAATAATAATAGTAAATCCATTAGGAATATTGTATTTTTATTACGCAAAAATATTTTGTTTCATTCAAACGATTTAAAGGGAATAATATTTTTTAAGCTTAAATTGAGGCCGCTAGTCTTACAATCAAATCTTCCAATTACACCCAACGAACATATCATTAAGAAACAAAATGATTTTTTTTATATAGAAAAAAAGTCTTTCGATAAAACTATAGCTAAATTAGATCTTTATCTTTTTTAATGTTGGTTTCAATTATATTTAATTAAAAATTTAACTTATAGTTGAGTTAATTCTAGAAACCAAAATCGTTTGATCTAGTTAGTGAGTATACTCAATAAATTGCTTGTTTTATTTGCATCCATAATTATATTTACTGGGTGTAAATATGTATGTAGGTCGTTTACTATCGCTACATATCAGTGAGTTTAAATAAAAAAAATAATGTATTAACTACGTGAACTCACAGTAAGGTCTTGATTTGAGTCTACTAAATTTGCTTATGGTACAACATTAATAAGATGTGGTACATTTTTATAATTCTTTATACCTTACGGAAAGTTTTAAGGGTACTCGGACCTGAAATCAATTTATATAAAAATTTACGTTTGCAGAGATTAAAAATATAAAATTTAATTTTTCTGAGAAAATTTGATTTTTGGGCGAAATTTCGATCTTTCGTTGAAAATTCGAATCTTCTTTGGTGAAAATTCAATCTTTCAATGAAAATCTGTTTTGAAATATACACACACACAACTTCAATTTTCCGATATTTGTTTAAGTTAATCCTCACTACTTATTAGTTTTAACAATTTTTAACATTTTTGAAAATTACTTCGAATTAAATTTCGAATTTTCGAACATAATGTTGCTGTTTCATAAGGATTATTTTTGACTACTAAATTCCAACCTATTCTATTAAAAATTTTGTTGCAAATTTTGAAATATTTGAATATTAGTTCGAACACTTGAATTCACTTAACCTTACAAATTTTCGATATTGAAACTCCAATTCATAAAAACGGCGTGTAATATGAGGAAAAATATTAAACATTTAATTCAAATTTCCTATGAACCACTCTAATACTCATTGAATTAACATTTAGGGATGGAAAAATTGTAACGTTTGCGTATTTTTGTATCAACAACCACCAGACGAATAAATTGTATATAAACAGAAAAATCCTCCCTTGTTATTTTGCACTATAGTACAAAAAATGAGCGGAAAAAATAAGAGAAACATAACAAACTCTAAGTACAAACATAAAAAATACATCAATAAATAATAGATATGTATAATTTTTTTGGTGAAAACTAAGAGTAAAAAGCAACGGAAGGAAAATCGATTTTCGGGATGCTGGTCTCAACTTTTGATAATTTACTGCGAGCAGTCTCATTCGAACTCGTGTACCGTCGATGTCATAAGATTTTCATTTCTAAATGATCAAAATATAAATATTTGTGATTTGTGTGAATTGTTGTTTTTTTCTGCTTTTTGTTATATTTTCTCATCCACAAAGAAAAACATTTTATAAATAGAACAAAACGGCTTCTAAATATCAAAAATTAATATATTTCGAAAATATTTTTAGTATAAAAATTTGCAAAAAAAAATAAAGAAAAATTATGTTTGTTTAATATAAAACTTAAAATTTGTATTGACATACTTGTATGCGTATTAGTGTTATATTAAAAAAATAATCGATTTTCGAAATAGACTAGTTTTAGAATTATTGTATTGTAAATAATTGCAATAAACATATAAATAATTAACAAGAAAAATGCCAGCTTCAAATACCATTGTGTTGAAAAGTCTTTCCATATTATTGGGATTATTTTTTGTTTTTGTTGGTACACTTAAGTTAACGCCACATATAAGTAAGGACCTATACAAGGATCTAGTAAGTATAACAAACATTTTATATGTGTAAGCGTTGAATAATCAATAGTTTTGTTTAAATATGTATGAATGTATGTATGTAATACATACTATGTATGTAGGTAAAAAGTACATCATAGAGAGAAAGTTACTATGTATTTAGTAAAGGTGTACATTAGAGTGGTTTCGGGTAATTTGCACAAACACCCTTAAGAGTTCATATTAAAAAAGGTTTTAATTAGTTCAAAAAATCTAGCGGTTTAAAACGTTAAACTTAAACGTAAATGTTAAATTAAAAAACTTTTTTTCAAAAACTTCTTATTAATTTAAAGGAAATTTAGATAAAGAAAAGTATTATTATTTTATTAAACATTGTTCCAAATAATACTGAACATTTTAAAAAAGCCACTAAACTCAAATTTTGTTCAGCTTCCATAAATCTAAATGCGTTTCAAATTTAAAGAACTTAAGTTTGAAATTTAAAATTTTTAAAATTATTTCAAAATTTTTCAAGTTCAAAAGTGGAATTTAAATACGTCAGAAATTCAGAAATTTTCTTAAAATAATTTCAACTTCGATCGAAATGGAATACCTGTTTCGAAATATTCGAAAGAATATTAAATGCTTTTTTTCTGAAAAATAAGTTTTTGTTTAAGGTCATTGTTCTCTAAAAAGTTATTACCTTTACTCTCCCAAAAATAAAAATAAGCACATACATTAAATTGTAACCAATCTAATTTACATACTACATATTTATAGCAATGTAAATAGTTCATAGATTTTCAAAATTTAGGTTTTAAAGCAATGCATTAATGCCATTATATTTATTAGTTTTTTCTTTGTATTTTCTATATTATTTATGTTCGAAAAATTTCCTCATCAAATTTGTTTATCTTTTTGTTTTTATTGAAAATGACCTCGCTATTATGAGGCAATGACATTCAAAATTTAATAAGCAAACACATTTTTAAAAAAATATGTTTTTTGTTTGTTCAAATTTAATATATTTTGTGAGTTCTTATTAGAAATGTTTCCAAAAATTTATTTGCATTAAAACAATCGTGCGTAAATCTTAAATAGATCAATTAATTTGTTTCAAATTTGTTGTTTTTTATCTATTTTTAATTTAATCTTATTAAGTTTTTGACAATGTTCTTATGTTGAGCTATCCTAATTTACTATAGACTTAATTATAAACAATACTATATAAATATTCTTAAAATTAATAAATATGTATTTTTTTAAATTGGTCATACATATATGTATTTACATACATAAACATTTGTGGGCGGAAAGTGCTCTGAATGAATGAAGTAAAAAGGCATGAGTGTTTTAGCAGGGCTATTAAAGGCAAAATATGAAAGCCAACGATTGACCCTAAGACATGAAGACATGAGTATGAGTAATATTAATAAAAAGTATTATTAATCATACGCACCCATTTCATGTTGAAAAATAAAAAATTTAACATTTATCAAAAATATAAATTTTCGTCTTTTTTATCTATTGCCCTTTTCCGTCAAATCATGTTACAAAAACCGCCACAAACTGCAAAAGCCGCTAGAAAACGTCAAATTTAATCAATAGCTGAAAATTATCTTATTTAACAAATACTAAGGTTGTCAATAGTCAGGTCAATAGCATTTGTTATATAAGACTATATATACTTGAATAGACTAGACTATAGACTAGACTATAGACTAGACTATAGACTAGACTAGACTAGACTATAGACTAGACTATAGACTAGACTAGACTATAGACTAGACTATAGACTAGACTATAGACTAGACTAGACTATAGACTAGACTATAGACTAGACTATAGACTAGACTATAGACTAGACTATAGACTAGACTATAGACTAGACTATAGACTAGACTATAGACTAGACTATAGACTAGACTATAGACTAGACTATAGACTAGACTATAGACTAGACTATAGACTAGACTATAGACTAGACTATAGACTAGACTATAGACTAGACTATAGACTAGACTATAGACTAGACTATAGACTAGACTATAGACTAGACTATAGACTAGACTATAGACTAGACTATAGACTAGACTATAGACTAGACTATAGACTAGACTATAGACTAGACTATAGACTAGACTATAGACTAGACTATAGACTAGACTATAGACTAGACTATAGACTAGACTATAGACTAGACTATAGACTAGACTATAGACTAGACTATAGACTAGACTATAGACTAGACTATAGACTAGACTATAGACTAGACTATAGACTAGACTATAGACTAGACTATAGACTAGACTATAGACTAGACTATAGACAAGACTATAGACAAGACTATAGACAAGACTATAGACAAGACTATAGACTAGACTATAGACTAGACCTATAGACTAGACTATAGACTAGACTATAGACTAGACTATAGACTAGACTAGAGACTAGACTATAGACTAGACTATAGACTAGACTATAGACTAGACTATAGACTAGACTATAGACTAGACTATAGACTAGACTATAGACTAGACTATAGACTAGACTATAGACTAGACTATAGACTAGACTATAGACTAGACTATAGACTAGACTATAGACTAGACTATAGACTAGACTATAGACTAGACTATAGACTAGACTATAGACTAGACTATAGACTAGACTATAGACTAGACTATAGACTAGACTATAGACTAGACTATAGACTAGACTATAGACTAGACTATAGACTAGACTATAGACTAGACTATAGACTAGACTATAGACTAGACTATAGACTAGACTATAGACTAGACTATAGACTAGACTATAGACTAGACTATAGACTAGACTATAGACTAGACTATAGACTAGACTATAGACTAGACTATAGACTAGACTATAGACTAGACTATAGACTAGACTATAGACTAGACTATAGACTAGACTATAGACTAGACTATAGACTAGACTATAGACTAGACTATAGACTAGACTATAGACTAGACTATAGATTAGACTATAGACTAGACTATAGACTAGACTATAGACTAGACTATAGACTAGACTATAGACTAGACTATAGACTAGACTATAGACTAGACTATAGACTAGACTATAGACTAGACTATAGACTAGACTATATTATATATACTATTATTATATATAGATTGGACTATTAGACTAGACTATAAAAAAAATGTGTAAGCTTTTTAATATATCTTATATTTATGAAGATTCGAATTTAAATTTTTAATTTATTTAAAATAAATCATTTGATATCTGTGGCCATAATCTGAAGAATGTACTTAAGTTTTTGTTTTTATTTTGAAATAAAACATTGAACCACTCTATTAAATGTCCATTAACATCTCAGACGTACGAAATCGTAGATACTTAAATACGTTTATAAATACAAATTTTACTTTTTGTTTATTTTTTCATATATAAACAAGAATTCTAAACACTAACCCAGCGAAAGGTATCAAAATGTTTATTTTTAAGTATTTTTTATGTTACAATCAAATTTGTATTTAATTAAAATGAATCATAATAAAAAATGATCTTAAGTATACATCGACCCAACTATGTTCATATGTATGTATGTTTAGTTTTAATCCTCTCAAATATAACATTTTTGAATTGAAAAAGAGAATTTAAAAAGTCTATACGAGTTAAAAATGACGTAGTCAATTTATAATAATATGGTTTAACTTAAAGATTTATGTATATTAAATATAGATTAATTTGAGTAGATTCATTAAAGTAATTGAACTAGTTTGATTAATTTATATTTTTTACTTTTAGCGCACTGAATATGTTAAATATGCCAAAGTGTTTCCCTTGACTGCCTTGTTTGGCATTAAAATACCCTCAAAATGGTACAGACGCACTGTTGGTGTACTGGAAATTGTTTGCGGTCTGGCAATGGCACTTATTCCATATCGTAAGTATTATTTATTTCATTATTTTTGTTTTTATTCTCAAGTTGGATTATGTTTTTTTCCTTAGATAAAGTAAAAAATACTGCTAACATAACGCTTTTAATTTTAATGCTCCTTGGCATTTATCAACATTGGATGGTAAGCGATCCCTTTGAACGTTCAGGACCAGCGTTGGTGTTCACCTTTATGTTGGGTGGTCGTTTAGTCGTTTGGTATCAGGTAAATATTGTCACAAATTTCGTTAAATATTCAGACGAATAAGAAAATTTTCTTCTTTTTAGAAAAAATTTCAATAGAAATCTAAAAACAGAAAATTTTTAATTTTTTTTAGAAATTTTCTATACATTTTTTTACAAAATTATCCAAAAATTTTCCATTTTTATAAAATTTTGGATAATTTCCTTTTTTAGAAAATTTTCGATATAAATTTTTTTTTAACTTTCAATCAATTTTCTTTGTTTCAGAACATTTTGGAGAAATTTTCTTTTTCAAAAAAAATATTCTATAAATTTCCCTTTTTTAGAATACATATATTCGATAAATTTTCTTCTTTTTAAGAAAATTTTTGATAAAATTTATATTTTTTAGAAAATATTTTATTAAATTGCTTTTTATAGATTTTCGATATTGTTTTTTTTTTTCTTTTTAGCAAAATTTTTCCTAAATTAGCTTTTTGTTAAAAAATGTTCGATAATTTTTCCTTTTTTCTAAATTTTCAATAAATTTTCTATTTTTTAAGAAAATGTTCAATAATTTTTATTTTTTAGAAAATTAACGAGAAATTTTTCATTTTTAGTAAAGTTTAGATAAATTTTCCTTTTACTAGAAAATTTTCAATAAATTTGTTAAACAAATCTATAACACATTTTAAATACTTCCTAATTACAGACTAGCCGCAAGGAAGCCGAACAATCTGCCGTCACACAGGCACAAACAAATGGTGTGAAACAGGACTAAATAAACTTTTTTCTTCTCATATAAAACGCACACAGTTCAATATTTTCTCCAAAAACACTTGATCTTCGAATTCTGAGAAAAAGCCAAATTTTTCAAAGCAGAGGAGAAAAATACAGTATTGGGATTTAAAATTTCACACAATTATTAGCTGCGCTAGCAGTTATATTTAAATTCCACTGAATGCAATCAAAACGACTTTTTGTTTTTAAAATTTTTATTTATTATTTTACTTTTCTTTTTAATTTAGTGAAATTATTAAATTGATTTAAAATTTAATTTCATTACCCTCTATACTTTTTGTAATAAAGGTCTTGATAAAAATAAAAATGTATATTAAAAACATACAAACGTTTGAGTAGTTATTGCTGGTAGGTCTTAAACCCACCAACTAGTTTATTTAAAATGGTTTAACATGGTTAATTAATAATTATAATAAAACGTTAACTATTAGCTTTTTGCTTGCTATATGCCGCTTAACATAGTGCTTGCACATTATACGCATATATATCAGTATAATATATAAATATTTTTAAAACTTATGACATTTCTCTTTCAAATGCTTTAAATTGCCTTTTAAGATATACAAATTCTAATTATCAACTCCAGTGGTTAAAAGTGTCAAAGCTTTCTGCAGATTCTCTATAGCAGTTTTAACATCATCATAATTTAAAGCACTGCCAGCATATTTACAATACTTTTGGGCTTTTAACATTTGTTCGGGAGTGATTTTTAAATCAGCCGCTGGTTGTGGTACTGTATAGACTGGATGAGGTTGTGCTGGTGGTACGAAAGGTTCAAAACCTCCGGGTTTTTCTTCTTCCATGGGGGGACTGGGTAACTTGTCGGGATTGTTTAATATGTCTTCAACTGTTGGTCTATCCGATTCACCACTTTCGGCATTTGCATTATCTTGGGGTTCGGTATCCACTGGACTTTCATTGTTAGTTTCATCACCTTCATTTGTTTCGTTTACATTTTCCTCGTCTTCATTTTGTTCCTGCATGGGACCGGGTATGGGAACTTCTCCATTCTTTAAGCAATTGTGTATGTAGGCAGCTTTCCATTTGGCATATTTACGATTATGTAGAGCTTCTTCCGATAACTCACCAAAGGTTTGCAACACATCGTATATAACACCACATGAGTAAAAAGCTTTTACTACGTTTCTGTAATTGTAAATTGAATTAGATCCTATTGTTTTATACTTTTGTATATGGGAAATGTTGCTTTAACTTACTTTCCAAAGTTTCCTTCACGATCTTGTTTGTCGGCATATAGAAAAAGTTTTAAGGCATAATTTTCCATATGGGCCTGAGCAGCAACTTCATTACTTATAGCTTCATTGTCGCTATTTTCCTTTTTTACGGCTTCTAACCAATCCATGATACCTAATTATAAAATAATTTACATTTTACTTTATTATCGATATAACAAATTTTTGGCAAATTAATATTTGGGATATTCTAAAATAGTGTAAACGAACTGAACAGGTTAATGAGACTTGTCTTATGTACCTAATGTACGATTTGTCTTAAAAAAAAGGATGACAGGTCCCACAGAAGCGATTATTCCACAGAAGCTATTATAACACTAATAGGATTCGACAAAGTCATCGAATCTTTATAAGGCCTTCAACTGGACAGTTTTAAAAGGTTTTACCCACAAAAGTCACAATACAACAGACTTTTGTAGAAGAAGAGTTAGAAGCAATAAAACACATTAGAATGTTTACTATAACGTGCATATCCAAAGAAGGGATGTTTATTTTACCCACACGCACCTTTTCCAAATCAAAGTGTACTACTTTTATATAAAGCAACATTTGAATTGTACTTACCCAAAAGTAATTTCGTTTCCTCCGGTTGTTGGGTGGTTATTTTAAGACCTACTTGTAAAGCACTAAAGGAAAAGTTAACACAATAAAACAATTAATGCTTAATGTTGCAAAGTTAAAGACTTTGACAACTTACTAAAGTCTTGACCAATATGCCACAACAATATCTCGAGTATCATGTTCTTGGGCCAACTTCAGGAAGTGTTGAATCTGTTTTAGAGAAGGTGGACAAGGTGGAAACTCCATGGTCCTATATTTTGATTTTAAACTGTTATGAGCTATTAAATGAAAGTGTTTGTTTAAAAGTAAATAAATACTATTAACTACAAATTTTTAATAGTTTGTAATTATAATTCTACCTTCCCAATAAACCAAACGATATTATAACGATATCGAAACGATATCACTTAGATGATAAAAAATATCATAAGTGATAGTCGTTCTCGTATCGAGAACGATAGTATTTACGTACTAAATGGTACCTTTCCTTATGATATCGTTTTTCCATAAAATTATGATATCGTTTTCGCTATCATAATTTCCAAAAATAATGATAGTTAAATCGCATTTTTCAGTTTTTTTCTGTATGCTCTTTTATTCTTAAAATTTCATTTAAAACGCTATTTAACTTAATATTTCGCTATTATACATATAAAAAAGCCTGAAAAGGGAAGGATTGCATTCATTTGTACATATTTACATACATACATTAATACATATTTTAAAGTAATCATATTTTTCATCACATTATGCATTGTCTTGCAAATACCTGAAACTTTTCAAAATTGCATACATGTCAACTTACCACAAAACTGAAGTATCGAACGAAATTCGCGTATTTATTTGGATTATTTATCAATAATTTAGTTGATTTTATTTTAATATCCTTTTTAGTTTTCTTATGTTCGAAAATTTTTATTGAAATTATTTTTATGTTTGAAGTTTTTTTCAAATGTTTGTATTTTCTTAATTTTTTTATTGGAAACAAAATATAAAACGATATTATAATAATATCGTTTTAAATAATGAAATATGATATCATAATCGCCCTTTAAAAGCAATACCGTTTTCGCTATCATATCGTTCTTTGGTTTATTGGGTTATTAGAAATTAAAATTTTATATTTTTCAACTAACAAACAACAAATAGAATTTGTAATATAAATATTAAAGGAATTTAAAAAGGTGTCAAAGACGCAGTTGTCGCATATAGAGTTTGACAGTTTTGTTTGCATGATAAATGTTTTTATACATAGAGTTTGACAGTCTCGTTATATATAAAAACATAAACAGCAGTTTGAATGTTTTCATCTTGTATGAATTCGAATAGAAAAAAATAATTGCAATGACTAATAAAGTAGTGCCAAGTTTCCTAATGCCTAATAAAGTAATGCCAAGCTTACAAATAAATCGTTTATTAAAAATGTAAACAATGGTTAAAGAGAGCGACAAAATTATGTGTTAATTCATAAAATGTCAAATTGTGTAACGAAATTCTATAAATTTTGAACTATGATTATAAAAAAGGCAATAAAATGTGTAATAACCGCTTTGTTATCGTTTTGTTTTTTGGAAATGAAAAATAATCGTATATAACAGGAATAACCCAATAAACCAAAGAACGATATGATAGCGAAAACGGTATTAGTTTATAAAGGCGATTATGATATCATATTTTAACATTGAAAACGATATTATTATAATATCGTTTTTAAATATTTTTGTTTCCAATAATTATTTGAAAAAAACTTCAAACAAAAAAAAAATAATTTAAATTCAACATTTTCAAGCGAAATATAGATAAAAGCTAATCTAATAATAGTTATTTTTAATTGTGATTAAGCTTTGAATAATAATAATAAACACGGTAAGTAATCATCTCATTTTTGCAAAAACAATATTTATCTTATGTGTATGAAGATTAAAAATGAATTGTATATGTATGTACGCAATTTTTTATTGATTAGAAATAAGAAAATGCCTAGAGTAGCGGGGAAAAGAGAAAGTAGTGCAATTTTCAAATATTATACGGAATATTCAAATTGTTCAGATATAGAAATTCCCGTCGAAGAAGAGGAAAATGAGAATGTATTTGATTCTTTCGATTCAAACAATAGTTTTAGTGAGGGCAGTGATAGAGAACAGGAGTCTTTACGTGACCAAATAGCTCAGTGGTCTATCAAACATAACATAACAAATGCTGCTCTAAACGATCTGTTAAAAATTATCAGACATAGTATACCCAATTTACCAAAAGACTGCAGAACATTGAAAGAAACACCAAGAATCTGCAATAAAGAAACTATTGAAGGCGGAACATACATACATTATGGGATAGTTAGTTTCCTTAATGAATATCTTTCACACAATAAAATTTGTGAAGAGGAAATATCTATTAATTTTAATATTGATGGTCTTCCCGTTTCCAAAAGCTCGGGATTGCAAGTATGGCCAATCTTAGGCAGTGTTAAAAAAGTTATTTTTATTGTGGGGTGTTTCGAGGGTTATTCCAAACCAAAAAATTCACAGGAATTTCTAAAAGCTTTTGTGGAGGAGTTGAAGGTTCTCATTTATGAGGGATTTACGTTTGAAAACAAAGTGTACAAAGTTTCAGTGGGCTATTTTATTTGTGACGCACCCGCCAGAGCATTTGTGCTCAATATAAAATCCCATTCAGGATTTTACTGTTGTCACAAATGTCAAATTCAAGGCGAAGTAATAAATCATAAAATGATATTTGATAATCAAAAGTATCCAGATAGGACTAATTTTGATTTCCGTAACAAAACTTTTCCAGAACACCACACAGTATTAAGCCCTAATGCTCTCGAAACACTCCCAATAGACATAATAAACAAATTCCCTTTCGATTACATGCATGTGACATGCCTAGGTGTGATGAAATCTCTATTGAAAGCGTGGTGTAAGGATAGGAAACAAAATTATTCGTTATCTTCAGCAAACATTTTAATTTTAAACTCAGAATTATTAAATATCAATTCCCACATACCACGAGAATTTAATAGAAAGTCAAGGACCATAAAAGAATTGGACCGTTGGAAAGCAACAGAACACAGGTTATTTTTGTTGTACACTGGGCCAACTATTATGTCAAAATTTTTAAGTGCTGACAGATATATCCATTTTTTAAAGCTTAGTTTGGCCATGAGGGTATTATTGGGTGAAAATGATCAACAGTATTCCCTAGCAGAGAACCTATTAAATTCCTTTGTTGAAGAAATACCTCAGCTTTACAATAGTTATTTTACAACATACAATTATCATTGCTTAACACATCTGGCTAATGATGCTAAATTGCTCGGTTCATTAAACAGCGTTAATGCGTTTGAATTTGAAAATTATCTACAAGAAATTAAAAGATTTATCCATAAAAAATCCTTCATTGGCTCTCAAATATATAACAGAATGGCAGAAAAAAGCAAATATAACATAAGAAATTTTGAAGGCAACAAAATTGAAACCAATGTATTTTTATCGTTTTTGAAGACAC